TAATAACAGCGACTTGTTCTTAACATTAGTGTGTGAATTTTTCTCTGTTTGGAAAAGTATTCCAAAAGTCTCTCCTTCTTAGAGAATCTTCAGCGTAATAAGATGTGTTATAAAGTCTGGCCAAGAACATTGATGCAGATCAGAAGCCTGTCTTTCATTGATAAAAGAGTTACTCAGGATAGTAAGATGGGTGGCATATAAATTAAATAAATAAATACACAATTGAATTGAACAGAACAGGATTATCCAGGTTAGGTACTCTTGGAGAGGGAAGGAGGCAATTTCGTTGATTTTACTATCATAGCATCTGTGGCGGACCTTCCAGAGTACAGTAGTGTGTTGTTTACTTAGTTTTATCATTTCAAGAAATTGGAAAACAATTACTATAAAGGTTGTAAGTAGCAATTTCTTAATACAATAAATTTTGTAGATAGCCATAACATAATTGTATGTTAGTTGCAGATTATTAACATGGTTTGTCAAGGTTTGTGTGAACATGAAAGCTTCCAACTAGAATAAAGTATAGTATTCCTATTGAGAAATAACTACCTTCAGTGCCAAAAACTGGATTGGGGAAAATGGCAGAAGGTATTTTGATGTTTAAATCATATAGGTGTATCATTTAATAAATAGTCCATTTTTTTTTTTTGCAGAACAAAATTAAAGTGGTTGCACTAAAAATAACAAACAACATCAACGTTTTAATTAAGGTAAGTTAAATTGTGGGATAAAAATATTAACGTCTACTTTGTCATTATGTTCTTCTATTTGAGCAATATGTGAAACCTGTGTCAAATGTAATGTTTGTGTCTTTAAAAATAACAAGGAGAAAACGAGATTGTTACATTATTTTTGAGATAGAGACATTTTCATCATTCTGAAATATATAAAACCTTCAGGAATGAAATGTGCTTCTTTTCAAAATTAGACTTTTCTAGAAAAGTTTTTCATAGTCCATGAAATGTGATTTCAGAAAATTCAAAAGACTTCTTCCCATTTTCCCTCTAGGATCTTTTCCACATTCCTCCTTCATATAAGAGTACAGTTACACTCTCCTGGAAACCTGTACAGAAGTCTGAAGTTGGGTAAATAACAGTGAATGTTCCTATCTTTTCTTTACAGTCCAGGGAATCTTACTCTCTCATTACGCTTTTGATGAGCAGAGATAAGGATTTACCAAAATATGGTGAAATGAATTAATTTTTGTACAATTAATTTTTGTTCAGCTCGTGAGACTGTAAACGTGTTGGTGTAACATAAAGGTAGCAACTTGTAAATGCAACATTGCAACCTGATGGGAGGGCATCCTGTGTCTTTGTGATGTTGCTGGGTAGGAACAAAAGTGTTCAAATCTTTTAGGAGATTGGAATTATGGGCTATGGAGATCTGTAGGAGGCAAGTTGCCTGTTCCCATGCTTAAAACTTAAAAAGATCCCGCAAATGTTCAAACCATGCCTTCAGATTTTGGTCCATTTTTCAAGGGCTTCTGTTAAAACAATTTGTCTGCCAAAGACAATCTATTCTATTCCCAAGTTTATTTTTTTTAAAAAGAAAATAATGCTGTTAAAATTTAACTGTTTTGTATTATAGAAGAAACATTAATTATACCAGATCTGCCTTTTATTTTAAGTAACCATGCTACTGTATTGATTTTGCATCTTCTAAAATAATTTTCTTTCCAAAAAAATCTGGTAATTTAGTCACTTTCTCTCAGCCCTAGGAAGGAGGCAATGGCAAATCATTTAATGCAGTGGTTCTCAACCTGTGGGTCGGGACCCCATTTGGGGTCGAACGACCATTTCACGGGGGTCGCCAAACAAGGCTGTCTGCCATTTTTTCCCCCTTTTCTTTGGCCACGCCCCTGGCACCCGGTGATATATAAGTGGTTGGGGGTCACCACAACATGGGGAACTGTATTATGGGGTCGCGGCATTAAAAAGGTTGAGAACCACTGATTTAATGGAACCACTTTGCCAAGAAAACTTTAGGGACTTGTCTAGGCAAACACAAAGAATCAAATATGATTGTACAGGGGAAAATAATTTTTCACTGTCATTTATATATTCCAGAACTGAATATTAAGAACCTTTGAATTTTTACTTGTCTTCTAATTATATTGGCACTGACTTTTTTTTTTTTTTAAGGCAAAAACGGGCCAGTGAAGATACATCTTCAGATTTACCAGCAAAAAAGTCCCAAGCTGGCCCCAAAAGAGATGCAAGGCAGATTTACAATCCACCCAGTGGGAAATACAGTAGTAACCTGGGCAACTTTTCATATGGTGAGTATTATAATGTAGCACTATTACAATTCTTATTTGAGAACAATCAGCCTTTTTTCCTTTATATCCTTTTCAAGATTGAGTTTGTGTTCTTAGCTTTTGAAGGCATTCTAATATTTCATTTTAAATGTTAAAAGTCTAAGACAAGATATTACTATGTATTTGTATTATGTAATTTAGGAAATTATTGGTATAGTCCTCAACTTACAACCAGTTGCTTAATGACTGTTTGCACTGATGGACCTCTTCGGAGCTACTTATGATCTGGATTTGAAGTTCTGATGGCCACCGCCCCCCCCCCCCATGTGGTCATGTGACTGCATTTTGGGACCTTGGCAGTCAAATCACATTTACAATTATTTACAACATTCCACCATCATGTGGCTGTAATTTATGTTTTTTTCCAGAAACCAGCTTTTACTTCAAGTTTCCAGCAAAAAGACACTCATGTAGAAATGAGCTGTGCATAGTGCTACTTGTTTTGGATTAAATTGGATATTATTTAAGTTGCTCTCTTAGGAAGATGGGTGGTTCCTATATATGTTATATAAATTTTAAAAATTAAAAGAAAAAACAAGTAATAACTGCTATTCTATGTCAAAGAGTTTAAATGCACTGGGGGACATAACTTTTTATTTTCTTTGATTTCAGAGCAAAGAGGTGGTTTCCGTGGTGGACGAGGAAGAGGATGGGGTGGACGTGGTAATCGCAGTCGTGGAAGAATCTACTGAAAGCATTTCCAAAGCCATTACTGTATGGCTAAAGCATCTTTAAAGTTTGAAGGATTGTCTGTAGGAGGCTACGTTGTCTAAAAGACTGCCTTCTGCAAAAGACTGGTTTAAATGTTCTTACACCTTTGTATGTATGATATACTTTTCTAATGGACAATAGACTCTCAGTGAAACAACAACTGTATTTTTGGATGTTTAACAGCTGGTATTTTAAGTTTGTGTTTGTTTTTAAAGCGTCTTCAAGATTTATTCAGGAAAAAGCATGGGTGTTCAAGCTGAAGCTGCTTTCATACAGATGTTACATTCATCTATAAATGTGGCTTATAATACAAAGTGGACTCTGTATAATAATAAAATACTAGATAACGGATGGAAATGTTATAATTGAAATCAATAAGAACTTCTCTTCAAATTGAATCATATTTCCACATCGGAAAGAATTATATTGCAAAAGAGAAGTACTATAAACCACCAATGGCATGGTTCATTGACTGAATTCTTTTATTTTTAAAGTGTGCAGCAAGATAATATGTGCTGTTATCTTAAACCAATCCAATCATTTCTGGAGAAACATGGTGTTAATTTTAACATTACTGTACATCTTGCTCTTCTCCATATATGGTTATATAATGTATGTGTTGCAAATGGATTTTTAAAAGTTCTGTACAAATGTGTACATGCAGACACAAGTATGTGTCATAAAATTCCAGTGAAAACTAAAATGCTACAAATTCAGTCCAGGGAAGATTAATCCTCTAGCAGATATTAAGGTAACTAAGCAGTAACCTGACTCCTTAAATTAAGATATATTTTTGGGGGGCTTTGAGCAGCTATTTCTTTTGAAGACAGTTAAATGACTGTGTTTTAAAATAAATAAAATTACAACAGCCTAGTTGTACTTTAGTTTAAAAAAACCTTATAATATCTTGGTCATTCTTATAAAATAAAAAGCTCCTATGGTAGACATCTTCAAACCTTTTATTTAAAACACTGTACTGTATCAGATGCAATTTCTTCAGTGTTTAACATTTAACCTTTGAGAATTTTCCCCAGTTTTGTTTTTGGACTGAACATTATAAGATGCAGAGGTCAGTATAAATGTCAAAAAGGAGTAAAACATTGAAATCAATCCAGCTACAACTGGATTTAAAGATTTCTTACCTTAGACCCAAGCCCTTTTTACAGTTTTGGAAGGCATAACAAAGTCAAATATTTGTACATAGGCATTTCTGTCAACTTGTAATGTGTATTAGCTAAAATTAGTTTATAAAATGGACAGAGATTCATTTCTTGGTAACTACAGACTTCTTTAGGTTCTGATGGCTCATTCATTCTTTTCTGATATAGAGGTGTTGAGCAAAAAGATTCAAGTTAAGGGTCTGCTCTACATTTGTTGTACTCAATGTTATAAAGAAAGTGATTTTAAAATTTCCAAGTTGGATTGAAAAAAGATTCTAATTTGGAGGGGTAATTTGTGTCTCCCATTAAGCTATTATACTAAAAACTGACCAGTTCAAACTACAAATAATGGATTAGATTTTGAAACATTTTCTATTAATTCATTATATTGCTTATTTGGACTGTCAGTTTTTAGAAACCTAGCTTTTACAGAAGTTTAACCACTTTTGCTACATGTAGTTTTGGGAGGGGGATCTGTTGAGTAATAGGTTGACAATATAGTTCTCGGAAATAATGTGCAAATTGTCAATTAGAAATAGCTCTCATTTGTGTTCAAAATGCAGTGAATTATTTTGGAGACACCCTTTAACCACTTCTTTTTATTTGTAAAATTTCTTTTATTCTTTTGCAATAAATCCATTTTGTAATTTTGCTAGTGGCTGTTTATTTTTTAATGATACTGATAAAAGGTGTAGAACAATTATGAAGTATTTGTTCTCTGCATTTTTAGAATAGTATAAATATCACCAACCTTAGGGTTTTTTACTGATATGTGACCATGTAAAAATACAATTTATTCAGAAACAAGCATGTCTGGATGTTTCTGCTTTTGTTATTAGGATAATACATTTCTCAGCTCTATTCTGAATAAAGCTAGGAAAAACGGTACCTTAATACAAAGTTAATTCTTGGCAGATTCGTGGATTTCTAACTGACAAGTAGAAGCAACTAATTGTTTCCTTCACACAATTTAGTTGACGAGCTAGTTAATAGTGTATCACGGATGGACCAATATCGCTTCAACTGGGTTTTTGGTTGGCTCCTGTGGTCAAGCGCTAATATATAACTGGACATCAGAAACAAAAAAATACGCTGAAAAGTATTTCTATTTAAATCTGAACAAAAGCGATTAAAACTTGGATAACAACCAGGATACAAAGCAGTAAGTAGAAAGGGGGGAAAAAAACATTCCTCCACAAAAATTGAAAACAGGAATTGGGCAGGCTTCCAGTTTCCAAAACAATCCTTTAGCGTTTTTTTCAGGCAGCTGTCCAAATAATCACTTGCAGTCCGAAACGAGGCCAACTCCCTGCTGAGACAACAGTGACGGTGCGTTTTCAAGCGCTGTAGGACAGGTGCAACGCCCGAGTAACTTCCCTTGCATTCCGCCAACAAAAGAGGCGTGGCCCTCGTTCGGCTGACAGCACCACAGAGCTCGGGATTGGCTGCTGCTGCTGCCGCCGAGCTGCACGTGGAACCGGAGGACGGGCGACGAAAACAAGCAACACGCCGCGCCTTCTCCCTGGAGGCAACGCCCTCTTTTGCCACATTCTTGTCCCCGCCTCCAATTACTCGTATAGAGTTAAAAAATATTGGAAGAGTCGCCTTCCTACCGCCAGTCTACAAGATATACAGAGCCCTCGCGCCGCACTTTTTCATTTCCACGTCAAAGATGGTGTACACCTACACACAGACAGGTCCACTTCCCCCAATTTCGCGTTGTTCGAACTCTTCCTTTTTTCAAAAAAAAAACCCCTCTCTTATGATAGACTACTAGAGCAGTAGATTCAGACGCACTTTCGTTTCCAAAATGGCGAGTTACGTGCTTCCGGTTCCGGGTAAGGCGGGCAGGCTAAGGTTGTGGAAGATGGCGGTGGCAGCAGGAGCGTCCGGATGGAGTGGCCGAAGGCTGGCGTGCGCCTCCGTGCGCTCGTTCTTCGGCCTGTATTTTCTGCTGGGCTTGGCGCCTCGTCCAGGCGCCGCCACCACGCACTGGGTGGTCACCGAAGACGGCAAGATCCAACAGCAGGTGAGGATGGGGTTTTCAGGTCGACACGAAGAACGTCCCTGTGAAAATATTTCTCCCCTTCCTCAGTTTTTCCCGGGCTGGCGGGAAGAGCCGAGGGTTTGCGCGGGCTTCTAGGTAGGAAAAGCATAGCCGGGTCAGCTTCCCTCGAGAGTTGCCGGTAGGTAGGTAGGGCTTGTCCTTTCAGAAGGACGGCTGAACCTGAGGAGAGAGTTCCGAGCCGAAACTTTTCTCCCTTTGCGATTCGAATTACGCTGGAGGGTATTTTCATCGTTTCGGTTTTCGAAAAGAAAGGCTTGCCTGGCTTTTCGGTTAACAGTTTGGCTGGATCCACCACCAAGTACGGCGTCCGGTGTTTTCCCCACACGGGCCAGTGTGAATTCACAGGCGAGGGAAGGATGAAATCAACGCGCATCTCTTCTCCTGCATAGGGTTGTCCGAGATAGGTTGCCTGTACGCGTGAAGATCCTGTTTGGCCATTGAGATACGGGGGACAGAGGGAGTGAAAACACGACATCATTTTATATGCATATTTCATGTGTTCCAAAAATGTTGTAAGTTTTCCATATTAGAAAACTCCGAACCCTGAATAATTTTCTTTTATGTGTAACATGTCTTCTAATGATTTGATTGGTTTCAATTGTTTTTCATTCTCTCTTGAGGTAATGCTTTCAAAAGAAGAAATGCTAAAGCTAAGTATTTTTCCTTGGTACTCTTGTATACTTGGTACCCACAACTGCCATTTTATTGCCCATTCAAATAACATCTTTGCAGAGTTTTTCAGTCTTTTTTTGCTGAATTAGACTAGCTAATAACAAGAGCAAATCTTTAGAAATTGCAAGCTAACATTGAAAGAAAAAAAACCATCTAGGAAATTTTACTGCTTGCTTATTATGCATTTTTATTGTTTGCTGTACTGTTTTATTATTTATTATTATTTGAAAGCCTTAACTAAAACACTATTTTTACATAAAAAAATAACTGATAGGGGAGGGTAAATTAAGCATTACTATATTCTCAGCGAATCTCAACTGTCCTCCATTTTAATGATAAATTATCCTGGAGAAAAGCTGCACTCTTCACAAAGTCTACATCTCTTATTTTCCTGCCTGTATATGGCAATGAAAAGCTGTTGGTGGAGAATAAAGTTTCAAATGCTGCTTTCTGTTTTCATTGCAATGAATCAGATGCCTATGTAATCTAATACAAGCATGACATCTCTTTGCAAAAGTCATTCTAATTCATTATTTCTTAAAAATCTTGTAAATTCAAGAATAATTTCTATCTGATACATTACAGTAATTAGGTTGAGCACTGTATTTTCTCAGATCTCCTTTAACTGTTTCATTCATATAATTCAGTGGACAGCATCGTCAGCTTTATGTTTGCCTTTTTCATTCCATTTGCTGTTTAGTGCCTATCATTCAGTAAACGATGGAGATCTTAAGAGTTTCAAGAGTACAAAGTCCCATTTTGCTGTGCAGGGACAGAACAATACACTTTGGTGTTTACGTTATAATTGCACCAAACTAGATTGCTTTGTCATTTTTAAAATAAATTCAATCAATAATTGTGCAGATATAACCATCAAATGGCATTTAGTCCTTAACAGGGAATGATCTGTAGCATATATTTATTCCCTAGCGTCCCTGTTTCTTTTTGTCATACTGCACATGTACTGCAGGTTGTTTTTTTTAAAAAAATGAGAAATGTATTTAGTCTTGTAATGGGCCAATCCTATGATCAATAATTATGAAAAATTTCTTTTTCTCCCATGTTTCCATTTTCTCACCCTCTACTACCTATTTTGGAGGGAAGGGGGCTTATCTCAGATCCAATAATACAAAAGAATAAACAAATTATTCCAGTTCCTAAATTATAAAGTATAAATTAGCTGTTGAGTTAATAGAGTTATAGCTGGTGGTCTAATTCATATTTCATATTAGGTAGCTCCCACCTTAAGAAAAAATGCATTTAAAAAGTGTTGCCTTAATTAATCAGTTTGTGCAAGAGAAAATACAAGGGACCCAGTATTTAGTCCAGATCACTGAATATTTTATTTTTACAGCGAAACACACTGATCATTCATTATGGAGAAATCTACCTCTTATGAAATTTTTAAAATTGCATTTCATTAAGCAATTATTAGATAATATATAAATGATGATACACATGGATAATTGTATTTCATTGACAGCAATAGCACTTAGATTTATATACCACTTTACAGCCCTCTCTAAGCCGTTTACAGAGTCAACATATTGCCCCCAACAGTTTGGGTCCTCATTTTACCAACCTTTGAAGGATGGAAGGCTGAGTCAACCTTGAACAGGTGAGAATTGAATCGCCAAATTGCAGACAGCCGGCAGGCAGCAGAAATAGCCTGCAATATTGCATTCTAACCACTGTGCCACCACAGTTATCTGATGCAGATAACTAGATATATAATATAACAAGTAATGGCATTACAGCTTTTTCTCCCTTCTTCACAGGTTGAGTGTTTGCCAGCAGAGGCAATCATTATTGGCCAATGAAGGAGTGCTCATACCTAGGTTTTTCATTGTGGTGTTTCTAGGCATTACTAGGTTTATGGACACTTTGGGGATTCATCATCTGTTCCCTATTCAGATGAATTTAATTTTAAATAAAATTTATAATTATATTGCAAAGGCATTAGAAGGCAATAATAATAATAATAATAATAATAATAATAATAATAGTAATAATAATAATAATAATAATAATAATAATAATAATAATAATAATAATAATAATAATAATAATAATAATAATAAAGTTGGAAGGGAGGAGTTGCTCAGGCAGGAAACCCTATACCATTTTGGACAAACGGCTCTTCCAGTCTCTTCTTAAAAATTTCCAGTGTTGGAGCATTCACCACTTCTGGAGGCAGGTTGTTCCACTGGTTAATTGTTCTAACTGTCAGGAAGTTTCTCTTTAGTTCTAGGTTGCTTCTCTCTTTGGTTAGTTTCCACCCGTTGCTTCTTGTCCTGCCTTCAGGCGCTTTGAAAAATAGCTTGACTCCCTCTTCTTTGTGGCAGCCCTTGAGATATTGGAACACTGCTATCATGTCCCTCCTCGTCCTTCTCTTCATTAAACTAGACATACCCAATTCCAGCAGCCGTTCCATATATGTTTTAGCCTCCAGTCCCCTAATCATCTTTGTTGCTCTTCTCTGTAATATTGATAGATAGTAGCATTTCATTGTTTGTTTCTAATGTGCTCACATCTTACACTGAATAATAACAAGGATAAGCTGGGAGCTAGAGAGTGAATGTAAACACTCTTAAGTTGAACTCAGCTCCTAGTAACTGCACATATATTTTCTTTACAATGATATAATGCTATTATATTTTATAGGATTTAATTTTTGAAATAGATCTAGTATTTTATTAGACTTTTCCATCCAAATAGTACAAATCTAATCCTGTTTAATTTTATCAAAGCCAGACAAGGTCACAGGGAACAGTTTTGCTCATTGCTTCATTTAGTTTGTGAATCAACAAGCTTTTCCATGGCAGTCATTTTCTTTCAGCACCCACAGCAAGCTATCAAAATATCTTATTGTATAAAATTATTAGAGATTTTTCATCTATCTGTTTTTCTTCTGTTCCTTTTATGACTGAATTCAGTTGTTTTTCTTTTTCTTTTCTTTTTTTAGACTTATAAATCTTTGGTTATTGTTTTCTTTTATATATTACACTGCAACTTTTCTCAATCCAATCTTTCTGTTCATTAGTGGACTATTTTCCAAAATTCTCAGCAAAAGCCATAATTGCTCAGTAATTCTGGAACTCAAAAACTGGGATAGATGAAATATGTTTAATTATATATAATGAGTGGCATATTTAAACTTGCAAAGTTTAGTTACTTTTAAAATTCATGGTTGAATATAGAAAGTCAGAAATTTAATTTATATTTTGGTCACAGCTTTCCTACTTGCTTATCAGTAACTCCAGTCATTGTACTTAAGTTACCTTCCAGTGAAAAGAATTTTTACTGACATTTTAAAGCACATGGGATAAAAGCATTCAAGCATTTTTTAGAGAATGGCAAATATACAAGAAATGCTATTAATTTTAACTTGAAAATTAACTCAAAGTGCAATCCACTTTTTTTTTTAAAAAAAAAAAAGGGCAGGGGCACGTCTTCCTTTAGAATTGAAATAAAAACTAGGGATGGTCCAGTTTGGAAACAGAATTTGAAATTTGAAGTTGATACTCTATTGCACAAGTCAGAAGTCAATACCTTTTCTTTTTTTTTCGCCCTTACCTCACTTCTCTATTTCGCTTTCCCTTCTCATCTTTTCCGCTATCTGCATTTGTATTTCCATTGTATATTATAAACTAATAAAACTTTAAAAGAAGAAATAAAATTTTATATGAAGATGGAAGAGAATATTCAAAAAGTTGTCTGTCAGGCTGGATCTAGACCAAAGATAATAAAAAGGGCCCAAAGAGTGTACCCACAGCCTTATAGAACATTGAGATAACTTTTCCTGACTGTTCTGGACTGAGACTACAATGCTTTATAGTAATATTGAACTGTAGCTCTTGAGTGATTTCAGTTCTTCAAGAACCTTGGTAAGGAAAAACATAATCATCAGTCTCCTCCACAATAAATGTGTTGGCAGACTCTGTTGGCTTCAGGGTGTTAAGGCCAACCAAAGGGGTGGAGCTTTATTTTGTATTTGACTAGTAAGTATAAGGATCAAAGGCTTGCTGGAGTTGAGGGAAAAGTTTCTGAAACCTTTCTTCAGAGTTTTTCTGGCTTATTGCAAATTTCAAAGGAACATTCGTTGATGAAAGAAGGTTGGCTTCTCTCAGGAGATGTTTGCAAGCAGCAGTTGCTGATCAGATTGTATGTTGTCCTCTGAAGCAGTCAGTACATGTCCTGTTTCCTGCATAGAGTGTTTTGTTGTTGTTTGTTTGTTTAAGAATTACTTTTGATTTAGCGAGAACTAAGACTTCATGAAGGTTTATCTGAAACTCTGTCTTGACAAAAATTAAATCATATTTCAACCTACCTCTTTTTTTTTTAAGTTCTCTTCTGAAATCTTTATCCTATAACAGAAGCAGCTACATGGCACACACTCACACCACATTTATTTCTCCAGACAACAGACAGGAAACAGCTATGAAAAGGAAGATTTCTCTTCAATTTGCAAGACATTTATCCTGCTTGGGCTTCTACAAGCCCAAGGGTCTTAGGTGTTATCTTTCTAAACTTACAGTCTCTCTGGGTTTCTCTGAAATAATGGGAGACGATATGAGATATGGGAAATGCATTCCTACTTACTTGTCCATGAATATGGGATTGGTCAAATAGATCAGGTAAGTAGATGCCAGTTTTCTGATCTCAGAAGACCCTAATTAGACAATTCAAAAAATATGATTAGACACTACATATTTTTTAAGATTAATTTTATCCTGCCTTTATTTTATATGAATAACTCAAAGCGACAACATACATAAGTGGTGCTTCCTCCTGTTATATTCCCACAAGAACAGACCTGTGAGGCAGAGGTTGGACTGAGAGAAAGTGCCCCGCCCAAGTTTACCCAGTCTTAGGCTTCCATATCTAAGGTAGAAAAAGAATTCACATTTTTCTTGTTTTCAGGAACATAAAAGCATGCTGAAAGCAGGATGATACTGTCAGGAAAGCAAAATAAAAAATAAAAATACTATTATTTAACTATAATTTGAGTAATATGTTGGGAAAGCAACACTTGACTTGATTAATATATCTTTTAGAATATTGATAAAGTTAATAAGATAAGGATTACCCTTAAAGTGTGTCCTTAGAGATATGCTAGGCATCCAGTAATTTATAGTTTTAATTAAGATTAGATCTTTTCAAAAACATACTAAAATTTCTTTAAATGTAAAATCAGCAGAATGATGCACTTCAAAAAATACCCCAAATTGTCTTTTAGTATTTAGATTTATATTTGCATCTTCTGATGGCCTTTTCCAGAATCAGGATGGAAGAAATTATTTGTTAATAATTTGAATTTATACTGATGTCCAGGGTTTTTTTTTTAACATGTACACAACATAGTCTTAAAAAGAGGGTGCTTTCCAATAGTTATCACACTATTATAATCCTAATCCTTTAAACTGTTTTATTAAGGGAAGAAAGGGTTTTGTACTCCATTTAGTATGGTACCGTTCAATTTTTTATTTGCTCTATTTTATTTCCTTGTCTTAATATTCAGTTAGGAATATGGCTGAATTGGACTTGTGGTATTTTGAAAATACAAAGTTAAATGTATTAAATTATACACACCCTGAATTAGATTTTTGTTCTAATTAAGCATGGAATAGATCATAAGCTTAATATGACATAGAAATAGCTACAGTACTACCAATGGAGTTAATTAAAGTAGTAAGAAAATGAGCAGCCTTTAAAGCTGTGCAACTACTTATTTCTTCATCGTATATAAAAGTGAAAGTTACCTAAGAAGAAAATACTAATATCACTGCTATAATTTCAATAGCTAACGATTCTGTTTTTATCTGGATTCTAAATGCCTTAAAAATAATATTGCAATATATAGCTCTTTTGAAAAATAGGTATTTGCACAAGTTTTTGAATTTCAGTGAATACAATCTCCAATATCCATTGAAAGGTATCAACTGTAGTTTAAGGCTAAGTTACTGCTATTTAATACAACATTTTCTCTTTGGAAAAGAAATCTTATTTTTTATATAATTTATAGTATGTAAATGGAATTGAGAGTAAGGATAATGCGTGCAAAATTCTGAAGACTCAATAAAATATGGATTTATTTATACAAAAGAAAATCTAGGAAAAAAGTTACATGAAATGTATACCTCTTTAATGCTACAAATATATGATTTTGAGAGAGACTGTTGGATTAGCTCAGGGGTGTCAAACTGCCAGCCCGCAGGCCAGATGCATCATAGCAAAACCTTGCCCACCCCATTGCCAGCAATAGCAAAAAAAGTCGCAACACATCACGTGATGTGGGTTTGACACCCCTGGATTAGCTGAAAGTGTGCTAATAAAGTATGCTGATAACTTCTTGAAGCACATACTAGTTTCCCTCCCTAGTTCTCTGTGGAAATCTATATCAGTTCCTTGTTCCATAGCTGAATTTTTCTTTTCTCATACTTTTCTCCCTCAGTTATACTATCTATCATGTTAAAGTAGTTGAGTCTCTTCATGTGAACAGTCAGTTTATACTCATGAAATGTTTCCCCTTCTAAATATGCATTACCAAAAGACCTTTGCGCCGTTTCTTCAGGACCTTGGGCAGCTCACTTGTTAAAAAAGAGTAAGAAGGTGATGCAGCTGAAGTTGTATTCCCTTCACTTAAATTTAATCCATGTGTTGTTTGTTCCCAAACCATGTTTTCATTTGGAGATGGAAACTTTTTTCTTCCGTTTTTAATCTTGTTGGGTAAAAAAATTGTTCTGTCTCTGAAGTGTTAATCACTTGGAAAAAACAATGTACCATAATTTAAATGCAAAACTTGCAGAATTTTTAGTGGCATTAAAAAAAAATCAGAAATTAGATGCTTCTGAAATTAAACTTTTTTTTCTCTGTGTCAAGTGTACCCGTTAATTAATTCTTCCTGAACATTTAATTTCTCACACAGTTAAAGCTTTTGAATCCATTGTAGTATTTTTTTTTATTTTTAATGGAATTTACCTCTGAATATTTGTAATAAAGGTGCACAATCTGCAGCCAAGGAACTGTATGCAGCTCTATTTTTGCAGCTCTCTGAGCACCTCTGGACTGGGTAGACCCAAAGTTCTGGCTTTTGGGAAGATATTAATCAGTAAGTAGGAGCCAGAACCTCTGCAGAATTTTAATGCACCTGTTTCGTCTCTTAAAATTAAAAAAATATCTGGCTTTTTTTCTATCTGGAGAAACAGGATGTTTCTAACACTAAATATTTTAATTTGAAACATTTTGCATGGTACTTTTATTCTGTAGTACATTCAAATAAGAGTTCAGTTTCCTTTCTGAACAAATATTTTTGTTCCAGTCAGTGACCAGAAACTTACACATTTTTGTGACAGATAGATTCCATTTTATTATTGATTATAAGTGCTGCATTTGGCGCTAAAGTATCACTGCGAAGGGGGGGAGAGTAGGGGGAGGAAAAATTAGTGTAATCTAATTTTAAGTGTTTTAAATCTCTGTTTTAGATGAGCCTCTCACATGTTTGTATTTTTTTTATTATTATCAATGTCCATTGAATAGTGTTCTCTTTTATGCAGTAGAATTTTCTTTGCTTTTAAATAACAGGTCAGTTAGGGAAAATTTGATCATACCATAGTTTACATTACCCGAAATTATTTTCCCTCTTTCCAGAATATTCTCTAAAGATCTGTGAATATGAATTTTACTTTTTTTTCTCTTGTCTAGACAACAGCACATGCCAGTCACCATTTTGCATTTTATTTGTTCAGTTACTATTTTTACTAGTTTATAACAATGACAAAAAGATACAAGAAGAAGGAATGTGTGTTTCCTAGTGTCAATGCTATGTAAATTGCAATTCTTTGTTAGGTCCAGAACTGTGCTTAATACTAATTTTCTAACTAGAAATGTAAAATGTATCAAAATTGAACTCACCATATCTTTTCAGCCAAATAGGAACCATCCTTAAGCTTAAACATAAGCTTAAATAACTAAGTTCTGAAGTCCAAGCATATAAATCCAATCCAGATATAGGTAGCCTTTGATACAGATCTATGTGTTCATCATTCTTAAGATGCTACAGTGTGATTTAGTAGGCTAGTTTATTCAGAAGAATGCAAGAAAGACAGTTTGAAGGAAGAAATCGTAACAATAGTTATTTTGGATTGTATTGCAGGTTGACTCACCAATGAATCTGAAACATCCTCATGATTTAGTAATATTAATGAGACAAGAAACAACTGTTAACTACCTCAAAGAGCTGGAGGTGAGATTGGTATAATGATTTTATTTTCAAAATTGTCTTTTTGGCAAACAAAAGTAGGAAACAATAATTTTCTTTGTCAGTATAAATTTGTAGTCTTAAAAATATTAAGTCTGGAAGTTTTAGCCTCAGTTCTACATTTTTAGTAGTGTACGTTTACTACTATGTTACTTTGGTCATCCAAGCTAACACATGTCCTTTTTGAGAGTTTAACTGAACTCTTTGAACTGTAGTTGTATAATAAGGGTGATGACTTTTACCCTTAATGTTCTTCCTTGTGCACATGTATCAAATAAGCAGAAAATTACTTTTAAAAAATAATAAGCCAATTCAATTGCTGGTTTTTGATGGTATGGTTAGGTGCAAAATATCTTAATTTTCAACAGCATTATCTTTGGCAATTTTTTTCTTCAAAAAAAAAAATTAAAGTGAACCTAAGACTTAATACTTTCGTTTTAACTCTTACAATCCTAACCATTCCCAACCTCATAAAATAGGCAGATAAGTAAGTTTCAGATCACTAACTCCTAGTAATATCACTGTGCATTATCCCTATATACCTTGAAGTTAAGGAACAAGAGACAATTGCCATGTCATTTTCATAGAAAATGAATATGTATTTTTGGTGATATTTGTATTTTGAACCATGCATTTTATTTTATTTGGGGGTTTTGTTTTGTTTTTGTAGAAACAATTAGTAGCTCAGAAGATCCATATAGAGGAGAATGAAGACAGAGATACAGGATTGGAACAAAGGCATAATAAAGAAGATCCTGACTGTATTAAAGCAAAAGTGCCCTTGGGGGATTTGGATCTCTATGATGGCACATATATCACCTTAGAGAGCAAAGACATCAGGTACTAAGAAAGCTAATTGTGTTAAAAAAAAAAAGTAAAAAAGCTGTTATTTAGAAGGAATCTAAATCAATCCCTAGCTAGTAACAAGCTGCTTGGATAATTGGTTTTCATGTTAATTACAGCTGTTTTGGGAGATGGAAGAATGAACAGTGACACGCTATAGAAAAATATGTTTTAGTAGAGTTATTTTTGGCAGGATTCCCACATTGCTTTTCCTAATTAGTATTTTGTAATTTTTTTGTTGCACCAAAATTCTGTTATTTATTTATTTGTTCTTATGCTTTAGTCTTGAAGATTATGTAGACACAAAGTCTCCTTTGCCTCTAGACCTAGAAGAACCAGAATGTACTAAAATTTTAGATCTACCGTACAGCATTCATGCATTTCAGCATTTACGAGTAAGTAATTGGTTATATTAGTATTTTAAATACTGCAGATTGAGAAGTTACAGTCGTGTTATTAGCCCAGTACAAGAGAATTCAGAAATCACAATTGTTTTGATGCTGCAGATCTTTAATTCTCTTTGTTTAAAAAACTATTTTACCTATTTTTTTGTATTGTGTTGTATTTTCAATCTTGTCTTGATTTTTGTATGCTTGTAAAAACTCCTATGCATAAACACAGTTAACTTTATATCCTCCTGAATTATTGAAGAAGCAATGCATTCATATAGAATAATAAGCCTACATTTTAAGATTTTTCTGCTTTGAAACATGATTTCTTGGAATCATGGTTCCATGTGACTGAACTTAGTTACCTAATATCATTAGGTATTTAGCACATCAAGCCAGGGCTATTATTTTCCATTTTTTTTCTATGCCTTGTATTTCATTTCTGCTATGAGTATTTCAGTTCAGTAATTGAATTCCAGCAAGGTGCATGCAAACGTCTGTATGAGAGTATGAATATTTTAAAATCTGTATATTTTAAGATCTTTGCCACTTTGGCAAAGAAATCATAATTTGATGTGGACAACTAGATTTTCTAGTTGTTGTCGTGACTGTCATGTCTACTTAAACTAGTTAAAGTGAGTGCGCCTTACTTCTGAGTAGACATGCACTGCATCTATCATTTGAAAGATTTCTAAATTACATTTCAGACCAGTTCACCCCTACCAAGGCAACTAATTTTCAAGCATAATAAAAATAATTACCCCATAAACTCTTATTTTTAAGCAGCAGTTTAAAAAGCTTCAAAGATCCAATGTATTAAACAAATGCAGACTGTAATGTAAATATATTTAAAATGCTTTTAAAGTTATTTGATAAAACCATGTATTGTTTATCAAGATGCAGCATTAATGGTTGCATCTGGGTACTTTTCATGATATTTTTGAGAAGAGTTACAAATCATCATTTAAAGTAGCTATAGATAGGCCTCGAACCATGAACATTCATTCAGCAACTGAAGTTGTGACAACTTTAAACAAACAATGGTTACAACTGCTCCTCAGAGTACCAACCATTGCAGCATCCCCACAATCACATGATTGCAATCTGGGCTCTTGGCAACTGGTTCACACTTGAAGTGCCCCATGATCACATGATCACCCTTTGTGACATTCCCTGCCAGCTTCTCACGTGTATTCCCCAATAGGGAAGATGGCAAGTTGCTGGGTTAGGTTTCTCTCTCCCACCTGAATCCCTCCTCCAGCCCCTCTGCACTCATACTATGCTGGCCAGTCGTGCACCCCTGCATGCTCTTTCTGACTTGCACTGTGCCTCTTGTACACTCCACCCTAACCCCCATCATGCACCCTTTCATGCAGTGCCTCTTTCACACTTCCTTGTGCACTCTCCTCTGCACCTCCTCACTCCCATCCCAACCCAGCAGCAGCAACTTATCTGCCTACCAGCGACTTGGAAGTTGCCTAACTTAATGACTTAATGGTATTTGCTTAACAGTATTTTTTTTTTTAAGTGGTTTGCTACTGCCTTCTTAGGGCTGAGAGAGAGCGATTGGTCTAAGGTCACCTAGCTAGTACTAGAATTCAGGTTTCCCTGCTAGTCCAGAACTTTAACCACTAGAATAAATTTGCTGTCCAAATTATAATAGTTACCTTTTCAAAGCTATTATATCTTTTGTTAGAATACAGGCAGGGAAGCTAAATATGGTGAAGCAATGGTATTGCCTAGTTTATTGGGTTTTCTATAAAGAATATGACTTTATTAGTAAGAATTGTGCAGCTCAAAATGAAACCTATTACACCTTGAGAAATATTATATATGCACAGTTATGCCATAAAGTCTAATTAGGTTTAAGGGAACATAAAATTTGGTGGGTTGTTTTTTCAAAAAGGCAAACCACCTTAAGAATTCAAATGCTAATACTTTTCCTCTTTTCATCTAGGGTATTCAGGAAAGAGTTAATCTTTCTGCACCCTTGTTACCTAAAGAAGATCCTGTATTGAATTACCTATCAAGAAGATTAGGAAGAAGTATAGAAGAGATAGGACATCGCATATACGAAGGTCTCTTGAAGGTATTGATACAGTCACTACTTTTGCTGTCCTGTCTAAATCAGCATCATCTAGAACAAAATCAAGCAGTTTTGCAGGCCAGGGCAGCTGGAGGCCTGATTCATCTTTCTGAAACCTTATTTGCTTCTTCTAACCATGACTGCTGAAAATTGACAGTACAGTTTCCCATCATTTTGAGATGGGAAGTTTATGAAGAGAATGCAATAACATTTAAAGAAGGCATAGCCCAGTTATAAAATAAGTCCTTCCCCCAAAGCCTAACATGTATTGGTGTATGTGATGTAGTTCCCTCCAGTTTGCAGTTGTCAGTCTCCTCACAAAGTGCAGCTTCCAAAAATTTCCTTACTCTGTTTAAAAGGTCTGATGCAGAACATAATACAACAGTATAATACCTGAAAAGTATTTGGAGGAAAAAAATAATTCCCATCAAAGTTATGGTCATATACATAAAGATTATAAACATGAAATTATGTTTTAAATCTGTTTGGGGCCATATTCATTTAAAATAACATCATTTCTTTCCACATGTATTATTCCTCTTACAGAATTCATCTTCTTGGGTTTTATACAATATGGCTTCCTTCTATTGGAGAATAAAGAATGATCCATATCAAGTAGTAGAATGTGCAATGCGAGCTCTCCATTTTTCTACAAGGTAAGATACATATGAGGAAGATAAAGATAGATAGGTTTACTAGCAACATAATATAATAAACATATAATATGTAAATTAAGTTAAATGGCTGTGCTTTTCATATCACTTAGGGTTGATAAGAAAATGCAGCTATAGGATATGGGCTTTTATGCACTAACTTATCATTACGAGGCCTTGGTGTAATTTAATTTCTGAAATATAATATGAATGGGGAATCTGAGAATTTCAGGGCTGATGGCTAATTAGAATAGAATAGAGCTGGAAGGGACCGTGGAGGTCTTCTAGTCCAGTCCCCTGCTCAAGCAGGAGAACCTATACCATCTCAGACAAGTGACTATCTAGCCTCTTCTTAAAAATCTCCAGTGATGGAGCGCCCATGATTTCTGGAGGCAAACTGTTCCTCTGGTTAATTGTCCTCACTGTCAGGAAGTTTCTCCTTAATTCTAGGTTGCTTCTCTCTTTGATCAGTTTCCAACCATTGTTTCTTGTCTTGCCCTCAGGTGCTTTGGTGAATAACGTGACTCCCTCTTCTTTGTGGCAGCCCCTCAAATACTGGAATACTGCTATCATGTCTTCCCTATTTCTTCTTTTCTTTAGACTAGCCAAACCCAAGTCCTCCAGCCATTCTTCATATGTTTTTATCTCCAGGCCTTTGATCATCTTAGTTGCTCTTTTTTGATTTTTTTCCAAACTCTCAACATCTTTTTTGTGATATGGTGACCAAAATTGGCTCAGTATTCCAGGCGTGGTCTCACTAGGGTTTTATAAAGCAGTACTAATACCTCGCCTGATCTTGATTCTGCCCCTCTGTTTATACAACCCAGGATTGTATTGGCTTTTTTGCCTGGTGCTGCACATTGCTGGCTCGTGGTTAAGTGATCATCCACTAACACTCCAAGGTCCCTCTCACAGTTACTGTTTTTAAGCCATGTCTTGCCCAGTCTGTACTTGTACTTTTGATTTTTCTTGCCTAGATCTTTCTTGGCAAGATCTTTTTGGATCCTGAGTTTGTCTTCTGAGGTGTTGGCTACACCTGCCAGTTTGGTGTCATCTGCAAATTTGATGAGTTCCCCTTCAAGTCTCTCATCTAAGTCATTGATGAAGATATTGAAAAGTACTGGGCCTAAGATGGTACTCAACTGCTTACTTCTCTCCATGTAGATGTAGTGTCATTGAGGACTACTCATTGAGTATGGTTTGTTAGGCAGCTACAGATCCATTTGGTGATGTTGTCTATTCCACCTTTTTCTAGCTTACCAAGGAATAGGTTGTGAACTACTTTATCAAATGCGTTACGGAAGTCTTAAGTATACTACGTCCACACTATTTCGTTAGTCTTTCAGTTTAGTCACTTTGTTAAAGAATGAAGTAAGATTGGTTTGGCATGATCTGTTTTTAACAAACCTGTGCTGGCTACTAGTTATAACTTTGTTTGCTTGTAGTTGTTCGCAGATCTATTTTTTGATTATCTTTTCTAGGATCTTCCCAGGTATTGATGTTAAACTGATTGGTCTGTAGTTTCCTGGGTCCATTTTTTTTCCTTTCTTGAAGATGGGAAACCACATCAGCTCTTTTCCTATCCTCAGGTACTTCCCCAGTGCTCCAGGATTTTTGAAAAATGTGGTGCAATGGTTCTGAGATAACATCTGCTAGCTGCTTCAGAACTCTGGGATGTAATCTGTCAGGCCCCGGTGATTTATATTCGTCAAGGTCGGATAGATGTTCTCTTATCATTTTCTTGCTTATTTTAATTTTTGTTTCTAATTTGTCTCTTGCGATGTTTTTTTTGGGGGGGGGGTATGTTGGGCTATAGTTTCTTTTTGTGTGAAGACTGATGCAAAGTATGAGTTAAGCAACTCTGCTTTCTCCCTGTTGCCTCTTATTTCCTTGCCATCTTCTCTCTTTAGTGGACCTACAGTTTCCTTGACTTTTTATTGTTATTAATATGTTGAAAGAAACTTTTTTTATTATCCTTGATTTTTGTTGCAAGTCTTTGTTCATTCTGAGCCTTTGCCTTCCTGACTTCATCTTTGCATGTTCTGGCTGTCTGCTAATAATTGGCCTTAGTTTTGTGCCCCTCTTTCCATTTTTTGTATTTGCCTTTTTGTCTTTCAGTTTGTCAGAGAGATCTTTGTGCAGCCATGCTGGTTTCTTCTTGAATTTCTTGTTTTTCTTTTTCAGTGGTATTGTGCTGGTCTGGGCTTTTATGATCAGATTTTTCAGAGTTTTCCTTGGGTTATTTTCCCCTTCAGATTTTTCATCCATGGGATCTTTCCTAGGTTCTCTCTGAGTTTCTTTAAGTCAGCTCTTTTGAAGTTCAAGACACTGGTAGGATTGTTTTCTGTTGCAAGTGTTTCCATTATATTAAATTCCAGTATGACGTGGCCACTTTCACCCAAGGTTCCGGCAATTATGTACACTATTACTGTTTTCCCTTGTTCAGTTTCAGTTGGAGGAAATAAATATTAAGATCCTGGAGGAAAAGTGTAATATAAATTAATAAATGAATACATACCCATTTAAATAGTAGTACTTAATCTATGTTTGGCTCAATTGTTTCTTTATTAGCTACTTCTGATGTACAGTAACGCTATCAGCTTGTCAACGCTGCTAATATTGAATATTCTTGCTTTGACAAAATATGCAGAACTGTCTGGTACTTTTAGAGTTAATTCAGATGAGAATGAGGGAGGAGAGAAAAGCCCGTGGAAGGGAATGGAAGTGAATCTTTGCCCTCCAGGTAATTGGAAGATGTGACTCATGACCCCAAAATAGGGAAGGGGAAATGCCTGGAATATTATGTGCAAAGGAAGCGAAATTCAGATCTTGGCATCCATCATGCCATGCTGACACGCCTCTACACTAATAAAGGCTTTTTTAGGTTAAACCATGCCTGAAAGTTCTTTGAAGTGTTTCATTAGTCAGACACATGACATAGCTATTTTGAATCAAATTATTGAATATAAAGTATATGCCATGGTACTTACACAAGATGCTATCTACTCAAAAGTACTATCTTTCAATGCAGCTGAAAGTGCAGTCCTACTAACTTCAAAATGTTTCTTTCCTAGGCTATAACGTAAATGATATAACTTTACTCTGCCAGTAGGGTAATTTTTTATTAAAATGATTATTATAATTCAGATAGAGGTAGCTATGCAAACATACCACAGATTCATTCGTACTTAATTTTTCATTCTGCTGTTTATTGGAAATGTTAGCTAAATGGTTGACTTTTTAGCATTAGGTTAAACTAGTAGCTCTGTCTACAATATATCTGCTCTTCAAACCACGTGCTTAAAGGTACTCTTTGGATACAATTTGCAGTTTGAAATAAATCCTTCATATTGGATTGGACCAGCAGTTTATCAAGCCTTGTGTATAGTTAACATTATAAATTTGAGTGAAGTGCATTTTTCCATATCTCAGACTATTTTTTACTTCTATTGTATAAATTAGAAATCTGTCAGCTATTTAGAAAAAAAAGAAAACATAAATAATCATTATTATTTGTGTCTTTTCTCTTTCAGGCATAATAAAGATGTTGCACTGATAAATCTGGCAAACGTGTTACACAGAGCACATTTCTCTGCTGATGCAGCTATTGTAGTCCATGCTGCTCTGGATTACAGTGATGTCTTCACCAGCTATTATACTTTAGGAAACATATATGCAGTAAATAAGACTTTAATTTTAGTTCTCTTGAATAACCATATTGCATTGTTTTACTCTTACCAATTATTCTGTCTTAAGTTAGATCATTTATATCCTATTAGGGAAGAGGAATAGAAAACTTACTGAACTAATAATGTAGTAACCATAATTTTATCTCCAGTATAGTTCACATGGTGAAATTAGTAATCAAGATGATAGATGAAATTTCAGAACTGATTTGTTTATTATAACTTTATTTCAGCTGACAACCCTTTTTCCTTCTCAATCTTTTTTCAGATGCTTGGGGAATACAACCACTCAGTTTTATGTTATGATCATGCTTTACAGGCCAAGCCAGGGTTTGAGCAAGCAATTAAAAGGAAGCATGCTGTCCTATGCCAGCAAAAGCTTGAGCAGAAACTTGAAGCTCAACATAGGTAGGCCTTTCTTCATTCTATAGTCATCCGAGGAAAACTAGTGGCTTTCTGCACTTACATCATATTTAACTATTCTTGTATCAGTTATATTTTTATTGTGATTTAAAATAACATATAACCTTATTTTTTTTAAAAAAAATAAAATTCATTCTTGTTTTTTTCTTGGTTTACTTTTCCTTTTAACATTGTTATTTTTGAGGCAATTAAAAAGTAATATACAATTGGGTCTAGTAACAACAATGTAAAACAATACATCAGAATTAGTACCAGAGTTAATTTAAATTTAAAGCAAGTTGAATGGAATTTTCTCTGTTGTTTTTCAAGATCACTTCAGCGAACATTAAATGAATTGAAGGAATATCAGAAGCAACATGACCATTATTTGAGGCAGCAGGAAATCTTAGAAAAGCACAAACTGATTCAGGAAGAGCAGATCCTGAGGAATATTATCCATGAAACACAGATGGCAAAAGAGGCACAATTAGGTATCTGTTTATATAAATAAATTCTCATAAAGAAACATTCAAACATGCACTCACATCATTGTATAAACAATTCGTTCCTGTTTCAAGAAAACCAAGGTTTCTGTATTCTGTATTCAAATACATATTGAGCAGAATACTTCATAGATAAATGTTAGCATGATTTTTAAAAATGCATATTGTTAAGTTCAGTTTTATTTAAGCAAAGTCAGCATTACTTTTCAGATAAACATAGAAACATGAAGGCTTTCAGAATCTCATTTCAAGCATTAAGTCCTTATATTCTCAGAAGGGTCATAGGGACTATTTGTAGCAACATCCTCTAAGTTGTGACTTCCTTCTGAAATAGGTATTACATTGTACAGAAGGCATCTCTCTAAAGTCATATCTATAAACTTTCAAAATGGGAGCTCTCTGAATGATTTAGAATTCCAGAGAAATCTAAACTTATGCTGAAGACTTTTGTCCTGTAGCTCGTTATAGCCGTTGCCAAACAGATATTTCTAAATATTCTTTAACTATCTATCTATCCATCCATCCATCTATGTTTTTATATCTTGCAGGAAACCATCAGATTTGTCGTTTGGGCAATCAGCAGCACAGCTTGCATTGCCAGTGGGACCAACCAGTCCGTTATCACCGTGCTGACATGTTTGAAAATGTTGAATATGTTGAGGTTTGTTTACACTGAATTTGTATGTGTGATCCATGATTTGTAAAGGTGAACAAAAGTCATGAGATGCCTAAAAATGGGGGGGAGGGGGTTAATCTTTTTCCATGAAGTTACCAATAGTAAGGCTTTTAAACAAAATTTAGGAATGCCGTGTCTAACCTGCTCCCCAAAACTCTATTTGAACTCTAAGTTCCATCCTCTACTTGATACCTGAGCACTACAAACATGAATCTGATGGAATTATTCTATAGTATTCTTTAATGTGTACTTAATCTCTTAGAGAAAATAATCTTTTCTAGTTCTCAATTCTTTATGCCCAAATGAAGCATGTTGATCATTCCTTTTGAAACTAGTGACTTTTTCAGAGAGTCTTCTGACATAAACTTCCACTTTCTATAAAAATATATTGCCTCATGCCTTTAACTCATGAAAAAATGGAGATTCTACAGTTCCATGACAAGTGAAGATAGGCATTTTTCTTTCTAAGACTGTATCTTTCTTGAAGCTTAAGTAAAGAACAGATTCCAAGCTAAAAGCACTTTACCTATTTTATTTTATTATTAGATTTTTTTAAAAAAAAAAACCCATACACTTTATTACTTTAAAAGTAACCCAAGGCAGCAAACATACATAATATTCCTTCCTTCTCTTTTTCCCCACAATATTTTTAGTTCTGGAAAAGAAAAGTAAAATACTAGCACATTCCTTGTCTCTTGACTTTATAGAGATAATACTCAATCTGAAGCCTTCAATAAATTTCCATTTATCCACCACTTCTTCCTAGCAATCCATTTTTGAAATACAGAAATTAAATACTATTAATATTTATTGAATATTGCTTTGAAACAAAGAGAAAAATCACTTTTAATAAAACAGTTCTGTTTTACAGTTACACACCATCATTATTTCAACCCCAAATTATGGATTGGAGAGTTGTATATCACTCAGATTTTATTGTGATGCCCTATAATTAGTTTAAGTAAGTAATAAATAAATAAATTCCCCATTCTTTAATGCTATCAATTGCCTAGAAGAGTGAGCATTTCTTTTTTTTAGCACTTCTCTTCCTCTCCTTCTTGGGGCTTCAGAAGCAAATTCTTTTTGCCTGATTGAAATAAGCAATGTTGGAGAAGATTATCTGTTCCTAGATCCACAATCCTCTACTAGACATATGTTCCCTCCTTGAATATGTATAATAATAAAAAAAAATAAAGTATTGCTTTCAGTTTCTGTTACATTCAACAAGTATTTCAGGAAATGTAAAAATCAAGTGATATATGTGCATAAGGCATTTCTTTGCATCTTAAGCTAATACAAGAACAACCCCAAAAATCATATGTATTATTTGTTAGTTTAGATGTTTTATGAATTTTCCAGAATTTTCAAGCAAAATTGGATCTAGTTAAATTATTTTTGTAAGAATGGTTTGTTTGTTAGTTTGTTTTTTTAAAAAAGTGTCCTTGAGGTATCAGTTCTATCCTTCATTTTCATTCCTATATTACTGTTTGCAGTTTGGTGGTGATTCTTCGATTGCTACAATGGCATCTGTGAATTCTGAACTTCAAGTCAATAGTAGTGACTTCAGCCATTCCTTGGAGTCCTCCCCTTGGGTCCATTCTGTATTCTCATTATGGGGTTTGGAAGCTGATGATTATAGGGTAAATAATACAACAAGCAATGTTACTTTTCTTCTGGTCTGGACATCGTGAAAGCTTTTTATAATATGCATAGTATTTTGAGCATAAATTACGTATTACAATAATTAGACTTCAGTTAGTCTGGGTTTCCTTTCCAGTTCAGATATTTTAAATTTGCTGTAATGTGTAATGTAAATAAGAATAAAATTATAGCCACAATGGTGCTCAGAGCTTCGTAAATTGCTGCTTGATCTTTGAAAAGCATTTGCCTGCTAGGAATTGATGTAAATAAATTGGAATCATTGTCATTGACCACATTTAAGTGGAAAATTTTGCTCCCTGTTATATTAATATCATATTCTAAAAGGTTTACCTAACACCAAATGTGATAATTAACAAAATTACTTTATGATTGTTTTTCTTTGATCAGGATAAGCAGAATATTATGTGGCCTCAAAGATCAGATTGTGTAAAAACTTATCCAGCTATCCCTTCCCCAGAGGAATTGCCAACTTATATCCTGCACCCAGAAAACAGGGGTCAAAGGTAAAAATAATGCATTTTATCTGCTTTTCTGTTGTACTTGAAGCAGTTTATATTGCATAGTTTAAAACATCTTAATGTAATCATAAAATATAAAAACTCTACATTGCTACAAAGCCCAAACTGCACTATGAAATAAACAGTTGTGAAATTATGAATCTTCATCAGTTATGAAACTGCTGTCTTAATAATTACACAGATTTTATGATCTTTTTTAATTTGCCATTAATAATGTGACCTCATGAGAGAGGTCAAACTGCTCTCTTGACTATTTGTAATTAAAAGTTCTGCCTCTGCTAGTTTCCCCACATGGATTTAGCTATGTTGTCTGGGATTATTATACTGCAGTCTGAATCATGTGGTTATTCTACTGTGCTTTGATTGTTAGAATTCATTCATTACTTGGCAATCCAGGAGAAGATCTCATGCAGACAGAATTTAATGAGCCAGATTGTTCTTCCATTACTGATATCCCTAACAGTGACTCTGTGTATTTCTTGATCAAACAACTAAACAAACATCTAGATCTAACAGAAAGAATTCCAGATGATTATGCAAAGCAAGTAAGTTTATTGATTGTGAACATGTGTTAGTTTGTTGGCATGCACATTGTTCATGTTTTATAAATGGATAGTTCCAAACTTGACAAATTGCTTAAAAAAAGTAAATCTCCCCACATAAAAATAAAATTTAGAAATAGATGAACTATTAAAGGAAATCATTGCAAAATTTGTGTTGTAGTTGATGATAAAGAATAATCTGCATTGCTATCCTCTGTTGTTTTCAAGGCGATTTTGGCCTTTTTCAATTGTTGCATGATACACGCAACTATTGAGATATATCCCATATGTAAAAAGATTATAATAAACTGTGAGCCAGTGGTGATTTACACTTTGTATTACTATAAAGTATAATGTTTTAAACTTTGCAGATGGTTAAGGGATTGACCCACAATCAATGAAACCCTTGATTTGAAACCCCTTTACTCAACCTTAATGCTATGCTGCCATCACCCACCAATCAGTAATGGTAGTCTCCTAATATTAATATACTTTACATTATATAATAATTATCTCTTCATCTTCTGGCCATCTATTCACCATGAGAAATAGATGTAACTAAAGTTTTGGGGGAGGATAAGGCATGGAATAAATGTTGTATTGGGCATGAGAGAAAATGACATATATATATTGTGCAATATTAGATTTGTAGCCCATTTTTATTAATGTTTTTATAATATATAGCTAAGGCAAAAAAACAAACAACAACAAAAGAGAGATCCATATACCGTTGCATAATCTCTACCATACTGCCAGATCTCAGGACCAGTGACAAAACTTATTAGTTTAAGTTCATGTGAAAGGCTAACAGAGTCAGGGCCAGTATAATATCTGGAGGAATAATATTCCAAAGGGCCAGCACCACAGCATTTAAGATTTTCAATCAGTGTTAGTCCTGTAATTTATACAAAAGGTTATTTTTTTTTCAATAGAAGATTTTTATATTTTCTGGTTTTAAACAATTTTTCATGCAGATCTTATATTCTCGTGTCAACAATCACTCACTTACACAAGAGCAAATAGGATCGTTCATCTATCATGCCATTTTAAAGGTGAGCTCTATTATAAGAAAGCCTTTGGGGTTATTTTTTTTAATTAATGGTGTGATTTATTGATATGTAAACTTCCTTGTAAAAGCAGTACAGGATGTTGATTACTGACTTAGTAGCAATTGCAAGAATATTTATGCAAAACAATTTACTTTGCTGTTCTGAACTTCATGCCAACAAAGTGTACTTGTGTTTAATATACTTCAGTCTTAGGATTTTCCTTGTCCTCTGGTCTTTTCCAGCCCTTTTTTACAACTGTTTCAAGTAAGGACCATAATGTACACAGTGTTCCAGTTTCTGATATATGATAGAATTATGTAAGAAAATGTTGGCAGTTTTATTTTAGTATATTTCCATCCCCTGCATGAAATTTACAGCCACTGCATATTGAACTGTTGTCTTCATTGATGTATTTATTATCTTCTTTTTTTTGTCCTAGTTAGGTACAAACAAAGGTATAAGCTCAAATCCCCTCTATATGTACAGTATATATGTGAGATTAAAGAACTGTGTCCATCAGAACAAATTTTGCACTAATATGATATGATTACATTTATTTAAATTGAACCTTATTTGTTGTTTGATTAATCATCCAATTTAAAGAGGGATTCTGGATCACAATCACTTCAGGTTTTTATATTCTGAATATTCTGCTGTCATTTCCAAACTTACTTATTTATTGGTGATTTCTACATTCCCATAACTTATGAACAAGTTAAAAAGCATAAGTCAAGCATAGATACTAAAGAAAATTATTCTTGACTTCCACATTTAACCAGTTAATAGTCCATTAAATAAAAGTCCTGTTATTCCATAACTCAAATTTGCTGAAAAGCTTTTGATGAAAAACTTTATCGGATATGTTTTGAAAATGCAGCTGTATTGTGTCAGCTTTATAATAGAACTTTTTTTTTTATTCATATAAGTCAGTCAAATCTGAAGGAGGTTGCCATTGTACTTTCTAAACCAGAAATCGGATGCTGTACTAGTGGATTCCTGCACTGAGCAGGACGTTGGAGTAAATCTGCAAAGTCACTGCCATCATTACTTCTGGGTTCTTAAAGTATACAAAGATTTTGGGTTATGACCATTTAGCCTTTCATTAGCATGAAAGTATGGATTTTTTAAAATTAAAAACCAATGTTAGAATTGAACCTGAGACATAGCTATTATTTTACTTGGGGAAAGGGAAATGTTGATCTATAGTTACTTTTTCGGCACGCTTCAAGAGTATGAGTCAGATGGTGCGGTACTTCTGCAGAAGTTATCACTTCAGTGTCAGAATATTCTAGTAGGGTTTATCTCCACTGCAGTGATATTTCTCAAATACAGTGCTTTATTTTTTTCCTAACATCTTATTCAAGAATACTGGTCCTTTTGTAAATAAAATGCTTTATATGCAACTTTTGTTTGCAAGCATGTCATTTTGGTAATTAATGGAAATGCTTTAGACCTGTATTGGCAGCTAGATTGACAAAGGGTAAACACTGCAACTAAGAGTGTAATTAATAAGGGGCGGTATTTCCTCTTTTTTTCTTTTTTTAATTGACTTTTAGGCAAGGGAACCCTTATGGCTGGTACTCAATGAGGCTAGCCTTTATTGGCGTGCACTTGGAAATGGCACCTTTGCCTTCACCTGTTTACGAAAAGCATTTAACTTGACCCCTCATGAATTTCAAGATATCCCTTTAGTCAACCTAGCAAACCTTCTCATTCATTATGGCCTTCACCTAGATGCCAGCAAGCTTCTTCACAAAGCTTTAGCCATCAATGATTCTGAGGTAAGTGATTTTTCTCAGAGAAGAAAAGCAAGATTTCTTGTCCCCACTTTTGTTCTTTCATAAGAGTTGCCAATGGAAATGTAGAAGTACTCCTTTTATTCAAACTTTGAAAAGCAGGTTTTTGTACTATTTTGTACTAGGCTGTTACATGTATGAGCCAGGAAAATCATGAAAAATACATTTTAAATACATAAGATGAAAGTAGCTATTTTCTAATTTTGACTTGTTTCCTTATTGTTCAGAAGGTCTCAGATTTCCTGGAAGGATTAGAATTAAAGATGGTTTATGAACTGTACTTAGGATCCAAGAAATATATTCAATAACAACTAGATGGCTTGTATAATCTCACTGTAGTACAGAGAATCTGTTCATTTCCTTCTCATCCTATTAATTTGCCACTCCATATTTTTGGTCTTCAATTGAAATTAAAGTTGTGTTCATATAAGAATGTATATAGCTAGTCTAAATTATTTTGTTTAGAAAAGAATGCCAGAAAAGTAATTACTGTAAAAATTCCAGTTCTTTTTACCACTTAGCAGTAGAAAAGTTTTTAAAAGATTGGGGAGGGGGGAGGTTGTTCCTGAATCTCTTTTGAAAAGCTAAAACTACATAATTAGTATATGCAAGTGAAATTCTGCCTTTCCCATGTTTCTATACTGAGAAAAGTTTGTTTTTCTCCTTTTAGCCTCTGACATTTTTGAGCTTAGGAAATGCCTATTTGGCTTTGAAGAATGTCAGTGGGGCCTTACAGGTTTTCAGAAATGCTCTAGATATTGCCACCAAATGTCTGGAGTGTGAGAGGAACCTGAAGCTGATCCGTTGTTTGCAGTTCTATCCATTTCTGTACAACATCACGTCTTCCACCTGCAGTGGTAAGCTACTATTGAAAATGTTCCCAAATTAATATCCTAACAATGTAATTCTATCTATAGAAATTAGACATTTTCACTCAGTAACATTTTTTCCATAGTTTCTATAGTTCTTTTGGGTCACTGTGTTTGCCTGGTGTTTCTCAACTTAGCAACTTTAAAATGTGTGGACTTCAACTCCCAGAATTCTCCAGCTAGAATGACTGGAAGGAGAAATTCTGGAAGTTGAAATCCACTCATCATAAAATTGCTAAGTTTGAAAAATACTGGGTTAGGCATAACAATAGTTCCCGAGGATTTTTTTTTTTTTCATTTAAGTCTCATTAAGAATAATTGTCTCTTTTTTCATCTTGGCTATTTCCAATTTCAGTGTCTGTGGACATTTTCTGCTTAGATCATGCTAGATATTAAATACTCTCTTCAGAACATTGCCTCTATTTAGGACTGTTACAATGTTTTCATATTTATTTAACAGATGCTAGAATTTATGTAACATCATGCAGCATTCACACAGAGGGGCAAAGAGTGAAGTCTAGTCTTTCTCTTGTTGATTAGAAGATGGTCATATATTAAATATAGATGATATATTAAACCATGTTCTTCGGCATCTGCAATACATTTTGAAGTTTTAGCTTCCAAACCAAACAGTGAAAACCGTAAAATAAATGTATCTCCATGCGTACTTGTTCCTTAATATATTGCTTTATAATTTTTATGGCATGCCCTAATCCCAAAAATGCACGCACACACACATTTAATAAAAACAGCCATTCATTCAATTTTGAGTGAAAGGCATGGTGGAAAGCATATTATTATTAATTCCTCTTAAATAATATACCCGAGCCCAGTTTATTATAAAATTACATTTTTCAAGGACTAAAGACAGATTGCAATGTCGTTGGGAGTTGATTGTCTTAATGATAATAGTAATAAATCCAGATTTATTTCTTTATCCTTGATAAGTACTGAACTTAAAATCTGATTACCTAAGAATCTGGGTTTAAAACTGAAAAGTTTCAGGATTGAAGGAGCAGGACAAGAACTTCTTTGCATATACAGTTGCCTATTCTTCTCCAGTTGTATAATACTTCCATTTCTCCATTAAGTGTCTATTTCTACTCTTCTCTGTTTTTCTTATTACTTTAAATGTTATCAAAATATTTCCAGTTCTTGGGCTAAAAACAGAAAATACACATAACGCTACAGTACATCATATGGGTATTTACCGCTTATGGTTCTTAATTATGGTCCTAATATTTCATCCATTTCCAGGTTGCTAAATGCAGATACCCCTATTTTAAAACGGCCAAAGAACTCTGCAGTTAAAATCTGCATAACTATTGGGATATGTGCCTTTTTTGTGCTAGATTTCTTGTCTATTTTGGAAGCAATAGCCTATTGTTATATTTTAAATACATACTAAAAATAAATCCTGGGGTGTTAAGAACTAGATCATTCTTTTTGTTTTTTAAGCTGTTTTTGTTTGTATTTTTTAACAGCGGGAACAGGTATTAAGATAATGCTTCTAATAGGAGCATTGCCAATTTTGGACTGATTTGTTTTCATGTGAATTATGCTTCTGGCTTTTATTAATAATTTTGGTCCTCATAAATATTCAAGATCTAACCGTAGATTTATAACTTAACAGATCTAATTTATAATTTATCTATAACTATAGATAAATAATCAAATAGGTTTTACATTTAGAAGCTTTAGTAATATATGTTGTTCCCCCCTATTGCTTTTCATATGCTCTGTGACCGCAGGGGCACTGCACTGGCAGTAATTTTTTGCCGGGGTCATACATCCCTTCAGTGCCGTCATAATTTTGAACAGTCACTGAACAAAGGTTTATAAGTTAAGGACTACCTATATTCAAAAATTATCTCACACTGCAGGATAAATATTGTGATACTTTAAAGCAAATAATGCTTAAAAATTAAAGAAAATATACACAGTGAATTTTGCCATAAAGAATATTCTGTGTTTTTCATGTTACTGAATAATAACTAAAAGTATAAAACATTAATATTACTGTTGAAGAAGTGTATTTCTCCCTCTTTATTTCATTGTGACAGCAATATATACCCTAGGACCATAGTTGAACTTAATAATGTTTTCTAGTTTCCATTTTCAGTATTTAAAATAGCATATATAATTTATTAGTGTGATAGATTGCTACATTCCAGATAAAATTCTATTATACTGAAATGAACAGAACAAATTAATAATTACTATCTTATGTCACATTGGTTTTAGTTGGAATAAAGCCTGACTAAAAAAATTCTAACCCATTATAAAAAAATTGTTTTATGAAAGAATAAAATAATTCATATTAAAAAAACTTTACTTTTATTATAAATTAGTGAAGTAATAAATTGGCTTCTGCTTTTGTTGCTTATGTTAATGATCAGCAGTCAGAATTCATTTGTGTAAAGAATTTACTACCTATATTTATTTAGGAAGCCAAAATGAATAATTATTCATACAGCTCATTTTTGCAGAAAAATAAATTATGGTGAGAAAAAATAATACTTGAAATAAGATTTTAAAACTATAGTTTAGATTACAGAACTTTAAGCTGTCACCATTCAGTATTTATTCTGTCTTTTAAAGGACATTGGATGATTTTTGAAGCATTAATTAAAATTCAGGCCACAACACTGCTTATTATTCTGTTCTATATATAGCTTCAACGTAACCTGAGAAGCCTTGCAAATAGCATTTTGTAGTCTTTCTTATCTGCTGATGATGTTCATAATTTAAATTTAGAAAACCATCTTCCATGTTGGGCGTCATTTTCAGGTAATGTTGAGAACATACTATGATCTCCATCCACATCACAAAAAGAAAAATCCTGCTATATCCAATGATGCAGGAAGAAAGATAGGTGTAACTAATAAGGTTGCCAACTTAGCCATTACTAATGGTCCAAAGGATGTTTTAAAGACATTATGCTATTGTTATCCATCCCAATAAATTCTTAGAGGAGCAGAGAAAAGGTTTGTGGTCATATGTCCCGTTTGTGCTATATTGGGTCTAATTTTCTTTTCATGGTTTATTTACGATGCAGCTTAAATTACATTTATGAAATATAAAGTATGACATCTAGAAACGCCCTTATGCAAAGCTTAGATATTGGGTTTTTGTGTATGTTGCTGCTATTGCTTTGATATATTTCAAAAGAAATGTTTCATAACTAAAAAAATAAAAAGTATCAGGAAGCATGTATTTGCTCTACTAAAATTGTGGATAAAGCTGAATTGGAATGGGATAGAAAAGTAAAGCAGAGGAAGGAGAAATCCCACCATGCAAGCAGAAGACCAGGCATGTAAACTTGTGGGATACACTTTAAATCAATGCTGAAAACATTGTGAATCAATGTTGATTAGCGTGCCTGCTTACTAGCATAAATGTGGCAATTTCTGTGGAGTAGAGAAGAGCTGAGCTTGGCTATAAAACAAATTGAAGTGGCTTCCTTTGGACTACCTTTGATTTCCTAGTTAGCATGAATCAACTGTTGGCTGTTTAAACAAGTATGTTTATTACTTGAAGACTGAACTATCAGAAATGTATTACAGTTTCCAAAGTGATAATTTTGTACTGCTTGTCAGTCAGTACATCTCAAATGCATTCTTTTTACTGGTGTCATTTATTCATTCTTACTGTAAACTATCAAGTATCTAGTAACAAAACCCCACAAGAATTAATCTAGATTCAGTTCATATATGCTATATTTTTACATTCTTGCTTTACATGAAAAGCACTTGTACACTTTTGCAGCAATGTTGATATATGCAGCTCATCTAATTTGTTTCCTATCTCTACATTTTATTCCTGGTGCTACATTTTTTTAAAAAAAACCTCTATGATTTGCTAAGCATTCTACAAAACTAAAACAATTCCCTTAGTTTCTTTACAATGTAATGGACATTCTACAGAAGAAAAAGAAAGAATGGATTATTCCCTGAACTTACTGCTTCATGGGAAGAGCCTGCTTGTTTAATGTGATTGTGAGATGCTGTAAATGCATACCTCAGTTACAAAAGTTATTTTTTCCACCACTGCTATAACTTTGAGCAGTTGTTGTATGAGGCAGTCAGTAGGCAACCATTTTAGCAAGCAGAGCTGGAATTTGGGGGAGAGGAGGCATTTGTTATTAATTTAATTTGCTGTGATGTGTAAAACAAGACACATAATAATAACACTTAGACTTATAGACCGCTTCACAGTGCTTTACAGCCTTCTCTAATAGGTTTACAGAGTCAGCGTATGGCCCCCAACAATCTGGGTCCTCATTTTTACTGAGCTCGGGAAGGGTGGAATGCGGAGTCAACCTTGAGTCGGTGAGACTCAAACTTCCAAACTGCTGGCAGCCGAGAGGCAGCAGATGTAACCTGTAGTAATGCATTCTAACCACTGCACCACCAGGCCTCTCAGATCTTGTTTTTAATTTAGTTTTTCATAATGTATTATCTAATTTATATGGTATCTCAAGTTTTCCACACTTTCAATTTTATCAGAGATGGGTATGCAGTCTTCCTGAAGTGCTATTTGACTTGTAATGGAGTTCAGTCATGAATATTAAGGAAGAAGGGAGAAATATTTGCCTTTTCCCTTTTAAGATTTCCTGGGTACTCTGTGGTATCATGTCAATACCATGGGAAGCTGTCATTGTGCTCTTAGAATGATAAAGATGTTAAACCACCAAGGAATCTATCCAAACAGTATTGCAGGTTGACATCCATTAATCTCATAGCATTGTATATAGTTATTCTTCCCTTTAGGCCTTTTACTTCTGTATATCAATAATTTCTGTATATCAATTATTCAAGAGATGTAGCAAGTAGTTTACCCTGAGGGAATCGTGTCTACAGTCTCTCTTTTTCTCTGCATTTCTCACAGGTTACTGTCATGAGAAGAGTCAAGATGACAACCATGCTATGCAGAAGTACTTTAACTCACAGGATTCTGATATCATATTAATAGAAGAAACTCTTAAAACGGCTGCTGAAGATGATTTGACAGATCAGGTTCACGGTTCAGCAAGGGAATCATCTTCTTTGACTTTAGAAAGTGAGTGAATACTCAGAATCAGTATAACCACTAGGCAAAGGCAACTATGTCTGGCAGTGGATTTTTAGTGACTTGAAAATACAGCAAATACATTTAATATTTGTACATTAGTGCTAGTAAGAAATCCTGCTAAACTTTCTACTTCTGATATAAACTAACTTGACCAGGTGATCCAGGTCCTAAAAGGTTCATTTAAGTTCAAATTCATAGAGACCTAGACTGCTGACCATTTGTCAAAGTAACTCTGGAACACCTATACATAGTTTTGGTCAAAATTAGATTGCATACTAGGATGAATAGGAACACTACAAACATTTTTCAAATTGTACTGAATTATTTACATTTTTTAATCATTAAACATTTGCATATTGTAGGTCAAACCACTAAGCTAGTGTCTCATCTAAAGCAGAGACATGCAAGGGGATTGTGTGGTGGTAGAGCAGTAGGATGCATGTTATTCTGAACTTTAAAAACAGTTTATATACAGGACAAACTTGATTTTTTGACATTTCATTAGATTATAAAATGCATTGCAGCACAGATATAAGATCATAAAAAAGATGTCTATCTTCCCAGGGTAACATGTTCTGAAGCATCTTTTGGAGACTAAATCTAAAGCATTGCATAGCCATGCCAATCAGTAAAATACTTACTGATTTGGAATACATTCTACTTTAGCTGGTTGTAACTAAAGCCAAAGAGTTAAATAGGCAATTGAGTAACATTTAGTTTTATTATGAAATCAAAAAGATATTTCTGAATTAATGTTTTTAACTGAAAAGCAAGGATAGTAGAGGAACTGATGGGTGTGTAGGGCACATTAATTTTAGCACAATCATTTCTTGACAGTAGAAGCCAAAAACTCCCTACACCATTCCCTTCCACGTTAGCCAACCAAGACAAATGAGCAAGATGCACTTTCTGCAATTGCCAGCTCACACTGAGCCATTCACACTGCCTTTAATGTTCTCTTTGGCCTCGTGAAGATGGCAGGTCCATACAAATCCTTTCCTTTTTATGCCAGTAGGAAATCTCCTGTGAACAATTCTGGTGTGTAATCCCCTTCACTTTTATATCTTACTGAAATGTTTCCGTTTCTGGAATTACTGTTCTCTTCACATAATGGGAACATATTTCATTAAATTTTAAAAGAGAAGCATATAGCTGCTTCAGATACATTTTTGCCTTTTGGGTGATTTCAGTGTGGATATATTTTAGGAAATAAAATGGAAACCCCTGCACAAGAGAGCAAGAGCTTGAAAAGCAGCTGAATATATTTTAATAAACTTTACATTCCAACCTCTTCAGATGGTATGTTGATAAAACTCTGTTAATCTCTCTTTCATACACACATGCATACACACTGACACTTGTATTCCAAGTTAGCAACCAATAACTTGGTAACAATATATCAGAAATACGTTGAATATGAAGACATACCCAGGAGGACAGTATTATGCAAAGTGCGTAATACGTTTTGAGAATTGGAAAGAATTTGTTCTTAACGGTCCAGGAAAATAGATGATTTTCACCCATGGGAATTTTTGATCTTTCTTACGTCAGTGTTTTCTAGGCATGGCCACAGGCAATATTTGTTTAAATTGTGTCTTTGTATTTTTTAAAAAAAAATAATGTAGTAAGGATTCTGAACTGACTAGAATGTATATTGGCATATTCTCTGTGAGGATGCAATTGGTTCTAAACAAAAGCAGGGAGAAATAGCTTAATATTTCTCTAGAGCAGGGGTGTCAAACTTGCAGCCTCGCGTGACATATCGTGACTTTTTTTCCACTGCCAACAATGGGGTGGGCGCAGTTTCAGCATGACGCATCCGGCCCATGGGCCGGCAGTTTGACACCCCTGCTCTAGAGCCTTAATTGATTAAGTGAGTGAGTGATAACAAATCAGTGTCAGCTCCTAGTGATCACATAGATTTTCTCCATGATTATCTGTCACTAAATTGGTCCTTCAGTTCTTCCAACAGTATACCTATCACGCTGTAATTGATTCCATCCACTTTGCTATTTGGTATCATCCTCTTCTTTCCCTTCCCCCTCTCCCAGCAGTAGAACGTTTTCCATAATGTGGAACTTCTTGAAAACTCTTGGCCCCTTGAACTTCTCATAATGTGTTCCAAGTATGATAATTTGATCCCAGTCATTTTTGTTTGAGCGAGAACTCTGGGTTGATCTGTTCGTTTTCTTGACAGTCCATAGCATTTTCAGTCTTCTCCAATGCCAAAATTCAAAAGCATCAATATCCTTTCTATCTTGTTTCTTCGAAGTCCACTGCAACCTTCAGGACGTATATGTTCATCACTATAAAATGAACTATTTTGTGTTTTGCCTTTTTATTGAAATAATATTTATTTAGTAGATTAATAATGAGTTTTCAGGATAAGAAAAGCCCTTTACAATGCAAATTGCCTTACTTAAAAATAAGTATTGATGCTTTGATTAAGAGTATGACATGCTTTTCTACTGATCATTTGGTTTTGGAATGGCAGAATTGTCACACTTCTTTAGCATAGGACTTGAACATAAAATAACCTTTGAACAAAGTAATGAATTTTGTTGATTCTCCTATCGTAGGTACTGTTATTGCAGAAAACAATGACTCAGAAGAAATAGAAAACTTGGGAGATGCTCAGATGTCTGAGGAGATGCTGGCATTAGTGGATGAATTTGAAAACTCTTGGCCCCTTGAAGCTTTTGAAGGGGCACTGGAAGTAAAAGGCCATCGGATGGACTTGCAAGGGATCCGTGTACTCAAGAAAGGCTCTCAAGATGGACTTGCCAGCTCCTGTTTGGGAGATTGTGGAGAGGATGATGGTGATGATGATGAAACTGAATGGGTGAGGACTCTTAATATGTGGCTTAAAGGATTGAAATTTACACTATTACAATCTTAAAAAGAATCTTTATAAAACGATGTACCATTGGTATATGTCACCAGAAAAATTCTCTAGAATGTATAAAGGCACTTCAAATCTATACTGAAAATGTGAACAAGAAGGCACATTTTATCAAGTTTGGTGGATGTGTAAAAATGCTAGAAAAGTATGGATTCAAATACGCTGATTCATAGGATTTTAAAGATTAATATACAGTTGTGACCAGAGGGTGGTAGGGGTAATCAGTGAATAAACAATTGGACAAAAAGTCATGGAACTTTGTTTTGTACATGATAACTGCAGCAAGATTATTGTATATACAAATATGGAAAGGTTTGACACTACCCACAATGGAAGAAACATTGGTTAATATAATAAAACTTGCTGAGATGGCCAAATTAACCTCTTTGCTCAGAGAAAAGACAACATCTACATTTATTGCTGACTGGAAACCCTTTTTGGACTTTCTGCATAAAACAGAAAAGATAAACATATGATTTATGGTTTTGATAATTAAGACAGATTATAGAAACTACAGAGTAAGGGGTAAATTTATAATTGTACTTATATCTGCTGTAAAGAATATTAGAAGTTACTTTGTATCTTTTTTCTATTTTTCTTTCCTCCTTGCACTTTCAGCTTCATTTTATTTTCTTTTATATATATATATATATAAGTGTGTATTGGGTTTTATCTTTTGTCTTTTAAAAAAATCTTTAATAAAAATTATAGATTGTTTTTGATTTACAACCATAATTTGGACTGGAATTTCAGTTACTAGCTGATACAGATATTAAACAAGTTGTCACATGGTTGGACCAGATTTTACAACAATTTTTAGCGCTGTCATTAAGTGAATCACATGGTTATTAACTGAATCAGGTTTCCCCGATTGACTTTGCTTGTCAGAAGACAGATGGGAAAATTGCAAATCATAGACTCATAGACTGCAAATGTGAGTCAGTTGTTTGGGCCTAAATTGGGATCACATAAGAGTGAGAATGGGCAAAGGTCATAACTTTGAGGATGGGTTGTAAATCATTTTTTCTGAAACTGTTTTAACGTGTGTGTGTGTGTGTGTGTGTGTGTGTGTGTGAAAGAGAGAGAGAGAGAGAGAATAAAGATGGACAACTCAAAACATTTTCAAGGCTGTTGCATTTTTTTAGAACTTATACGAAAGATAGATTTGGAATATTTCATTTTAATTTTATTTCCCCTCTTTTAGCCACCATCTTTCACAAATCTCTGTTTGATCTCTTCAATCGTTTTCCAGTTTTTTCTCTTTCTCCACTTTTGTGCCTCCCTCTACTTAGAGAAACCCTTTTTTTATTTGCCTGTAGCTCTTTTTGCTCTCAGTATTTCTAGTTTTCCTACTTTTCTGATTTTTTTTCATCCCATCGATCTTTCTGTAACTATTTGTCTACTTTAACTTCCCCATTTACTTTGCTACTCTCTACTTTCCACTTACATTTCTTCTCAGTAATTTAGTTTATCAGTGCCAATTTATTTGAAATATCATAGCTCTTGGCACTGGGTGACTTGGAGAAAATGTGAATGTACTTTAAATCATTATCATCACCATCATACAAAACACCTTCCTTTTCTTTGGAAAAAATATTGCTATTTTTCAGTTTTAAGAAGCTATTATAATGCAAATGTCAAACTGAAATTTGTTCTTTTGACCAGACCATAAATACAGATTAACAAAGAGAAAATGACCATAATGAACCGGGTTTTTTTTTTCCATCATCATAGAATAACCTTAATGATGAAAATAAAGATAGAATTTAAACCGGAACTGTGTTTGTTAGGAATATTAGGATCTAATTATGGAAAGGAGAATGAGTATCTAATCTTACATGTATTAACAGCTGCGAAAACAGCATTTGCCCAGTTCTGGAAAAATGAAAATCTACCATCTGACCAGATTATAATAATAAAAATACTTGAACGTGCTGAAATGGACAGATTAACTTTAGAAATGAAAGAGAAAGAAGACTCAAATCTATTTTAAAACATGGGATAAATTTTACCAATGGATAGCAACACAATAGAATGAGAAAAGCTTATGGAATTTAATGGGATAATTGTTATTTTGTATTTAAATTCTATGTTTCCTGCCTGAGCAGGGGGTTGGACTAGATGACCTCCAAGCTCCCTTCCAACTTTATCATTATTATTGTTGTCGTTGTTGTTGTTATGAATTCTTCCCCTTTCTATTTGTGATTTTAATAACAAGTAATTATAACTAATAAGTAATACACCAATTTTTTAATGTTATTATGATTAATTAGCAATATATTAGTAATATTATATTGAGTATGGTTATTTTATATTAACTGTTAGGATTGAATATGTATACCCGGACGGGTTTACTTGCTAAAGCGTTGACTTATTGTGGGGATAACCCCACTATTATACCTATCCCTTCCCCTGGTCTACTAACCCTTTTTGTTTGTCACCCCTTGTTATACCCCCATTGGTCCCACTTCCCTTTTATCCTTATAAAATCTAATAAAATATCTATATATATAAAAAGAGAGAATGACAATAATGAACCGGGTTTTTTTCCATCATCATAGAATAAGCTTAAATTTTAAACTGTATAAATTTAATGTTTTAATATTTTAGTTGTTTTTATATTTATTTTACAACCTGTAAGCTGCCCAGAGTCATCTTACAGGGGAGATAGAAGGCATAAAAATTTAATTAATAAATAATCATAGAAAGTGCCCTTCCCCCAAAAAAATATTTTTTAAAAAAATATCTTCTTCTATGGGACTAAACTGGGCCATGTTTCACCTCTTCTCTGATGTGCTCCTTCCCATATTTTCATGCACAGACATGTGCTTACTCCTTCAAAGTGTCCTTTTTGCAAATGGCTATTGCCAGCATAGAAGTAGTAGGGCACACAAAAGCAAAATCAGGAAACTTCTCCCTATACATTAATTGTTAGTTGTGATAAGACTTTGGGTCTAAAGATATGGAATTTTAGCAATTTCTAGTAGTCTAATCTATTTATTTTAATACTACAGAATTATTGCCTACAAACTTTTACACTATTAATTTTCTGAGGAGCCTTCAGTGCTGAATGTGTTATTCAGTTCTGAGCTAAACAAATTATTGTTATATGCTTCTGTTTGTACATTTGATGTATTAAGATGTGAGCAGAATTAGAGTGACTAGAATTATCAAGAAAAAGGAAACTGTCTGGAAATTGCCCTTGAAAATCAACTTAGTCTGAAAGGAATCAGTTTAGTTCTTCATTCTTATCAGCACAGCAATATATTTAGTTCTGTTACCTTCACCATTTCTTTTAATTTGACAGATCACATTTCAAGTAAAACGTGTAAAGAAACACAAACCAGAAAATATAGACCCACAAGAACCTGCTGGAAGAATTGGAGAGGAAGGAGTAGCTGGAGAAAATGAAAACCTTTACCAAATGGCATTGGAAATCAGTGGGCCAAAAATACCTTCCCCCGGGCCACCTGGTAATATGCTTTCTTTTTTAAAAAAACAAGACCAATATTTGTTTCAGAATACTAGGATACACTTGATACACACATTAAATAAGTTGTGATAAAAGCTTACTGTACACATTGTGCAGTAAATTCTGTGCATATTCGTTCATAGATATGTCCCAGAACATGCAAAGGGCTTGCCAAGTATATGTGTCTAGCTTTGTAACCTTGCAGCCAAAGAAAAAAAGCCAAAGAACAATTAACCAATGGAACCACCTGCCTCCAGAAGCGATGAATGCTCCAACACTGGAAGTTTTTAAGAAGAGACTGGACAGCCATTTGTCCGAAATGATATAGGGTTACCTGCCTGAGCAGGGGGTTGGACTTGATGACCTCCAAGGTCCGTTCCAACTTTTTATTATTATTAATAATAATAATAATTCTCTCCTGGGAGGAAACTGTAGCATAGTGTTTATTTTTGTGTGATATGGCGCAACTTTTTCCAATAGCCAAAATAAAAATAATGTCCACAGAATAAACCAAAATGAAAATAACTAAAGTTCTTCAGGTTCAACAGATAATTGTGCATTTAACTGAAAAAAGACAGCTGCAGAGCTTTGATATAATGAATATACAACTGATCCTCAAAGTTCTGGCCATCATAGCATCCAACAGTCTCACAATTACAGCTTACAATTATGATGACTTAGGGAGCCACAGTCACATGATTGCATTTGTGCCCTGTCCTACCAACTTTCCACAAGCAAATTCTGTAGGGTAGCCAGCAGGGAGAGTCTTAAGTTGCTCCACCCCAACTTGTGCTGGCCCTTCCGGGACATTCCCTCCCCCCATGGCATCTCCCTGCTCCATACCTGGAACTTCTACCTCTTCCTGCCTAATGATCCATGCATGTTGGTGTTATGATGGCAACCAGGATTGCTGGGATTGTTAAATGATACAGTCACATGTGGTCATGTTTTATGAACATATTGCTTAGTGATAGCAATCCCAGTCATAATTGCTGTCAAAAACCAAGTGTGTCCTACATGGCCTGAAGCTGTGAGGAGATAGGCCAAGTATGCCAGATAACTGCAGAAAGGGAGGACAGGCCCATTGGGGCAGCAGCATAGAGACAGAACAGTAAGAGGAAGAAAACACTGGAGAGATTGGCAAGTAAAGTATACTTTATATATTAGTTAATTTTAATCATAATTGTTCATAATTTTATAATGGCTGTTTTTATATTATTGTTTTATCCCACCCAAAGTCACTTCTGGTGAGAAGGGCAGCTGTATAAATTAAATGTAAATAAAATGTGGAAGCTGGTAGATAGGCCTTACTGAGAAAGGGAAAGAGGGATGAGGAACACCATCCTTGCCATGCCCTTTTTGCCTCTTAATTCTAGCACAGATTTGCTTTAACTGAAACCTAGACTGATCTAAATTATTTTGGTGCCATTTTGGCAGGACCAAGTCCCTCCCAGGATCGTCCAGAGACATTTTGAGGCACAAGATGTTTGTTTTTAGTATAGAGCAAAGTACATGTTTGTTTCTTGCACATCCATAAAATACAGCCTTTTAAAATGCTTTTTTATTTCTTTGGTTCCAAGTCAATACCTATTATTTTGCTCCTGATATGCTATCAGATAGCCTATACTATTCCGATAATTGAAATTCCCATTATAGAAAAAGAATGTTAAAAATTGAAATGATTCTTCTTGTTTTCAAAAGATTTTCTTGCTTCTTTGCAGGAAGAAAGAAAGACTATCACAGCTTGGGTTGGCCAAGTCCTGATGAGTGTATTAAGTTCCGCAGAATGGATCTTACTACCGTAGCCAGCACATGGCTAGCTGTTTCTGCTAAAAATATTGAGTGAGTATTTTTTCTATAAACAAAATTAGGTCAGTACGTAAGTGGGACAGATATGTATAGCTTAAAAGATTCATCTTAATGGGCTGGTACATCAAGTTGTGACTGTATTGTATTCTGCACTTACTTTGACAATGCTATTATTGGATCTAATAATCCACAGAGGTCTGAGCATCAGAAATGTCATCTCCAGCATTATGTACTCTCTTGCAGAATATCATGACTTATTTCTTAATGGCTTCAGAAATGAGTGGAAGTTAAGAGTGAGCAATAATTTAATCAAGTTATGTTCAAAACAAAGTCTGAATGATTACAGGAATATCTCTCCAAATGAGACAAAAAATATCAAGTGAGATTATAAAATTTGCAAGGTGATGCACATGAAATGCAAGAGGAATTGTAATTTCACATCTATTTTGAATTGGTCATGACAATCCAAGAAAATATAGTTTAGGTTTATGTTTGATGCTGCTTTAAACCTCACTCTGAGGTATCACTCTCTCAGCCCACAATAGGCTCAGACAAGCCAATTAGTCCATTCCTATCACAACCAATGGATCAACACTTGGTTGATCTGAAAAAAAAAAAAAAAAAACAAAACCCTGTCCCTGCATTTCCAGGAAAAAAAAATACTAGGAAAGGAAAGAACTGGCTGTAATAAACCATTATTTCTGTATCAGGCTGTGATCGGTTTATAACTTTGGCCTAAAATTAACATATTACCATTATTGCCCAGTGCCTCAGGACTGACACAGTCCTATTTTAATATGAAGACACTGAAGCATCTGTAAGCATGGAACCAAGTATTATCAATATGCTGATGTCACTCAGTTATACATTTCAGCTCCAGGGGAAACAGGAGGTGTGTTGAGATTCTGAATGCCAGTAGGCTAAATCTCAAACCTAACAATACAGAAGTTCTTGGATATGAAGGCCCGCTAACTTCAACGATTTATCATCTTTGATTCTGCACTGGCTTGTGTTTCTCTATGCAGAGTTTGTCCATAATTTAGCAGTCATGGGGAGGAGGGCCTTTGTACAGCATTATCCACTTTTTGGAATGCTGCCCTGAATCCAAAAAATGTGTGCCTTGCTCTTTTAACTTACATCTATTGGGAGGAGATAATGTCCTGCTCAACTAGCATTTATTGTTCGCTTTCTTAATTTGTTTTATCTATAGGTAAGCATTTGTATATATTATCATTAAATTTAGTGGGTAAATGCAAAAATGACATTCCCCAGATAGCATCTATAGAACCATTTTATGAAACTGCCTCTGGTGGAATACGGTTTTTAAATCAGGTATGTCTGTCTACTAAAATACGCTAGATATTTGTGGAGTAAGCATCAAAGCCTAATAAATATAATGCAATAATAAGTGAGCAGCAAGGATGTCGTACTCCAGCAGACTGTATTGTCTGGAACTTCTTCTCACCCACTTGAAATCCATCCTACTTTAGAAAGCAGAGCATTATGCTAAAAAGTGTAATGTTCTTGGACTCAGACATTGTTCTTAATTTATTCAGTTTTTGTTGCAACACTTAGTTGACATAACTAAATAGCATTCAGTGTACTTGTTATTTAAAGGGGAAATTCGATTACCAGAAAAACCCAAGGCTAGCTTAGGAAATAGAAACCATACAGAATCAAACTCATGTACAAGAGTCTTTCCCTAACCCCTTAACAATTCACATATAGGAAAAAATTTTGTGCTTTCTCCCTCTAGTATAATTTCAGAATGATGTAAGAAAAAACAGTACTGGAGTTAACTACTTGCTGTTCACATAAACCTTTTTGTGTAAGGGAATGTTCCAATATGATAGAAACATTAGAAAATCTGTTTCAAAATGTGAGTCAGATGTACAGCTTCTGAAATAAATCTCCATTAGAATTGGTTTCAATTTTGTTTAATATATTGATTTAGATATATAGATATATATGTTTCCTTTAATATCTTAACAATCCTTTGTCTCTTGTAGCATCACAGAGCACATTGATTTTGCCACTCCCCTGCAAGAGCCCGCCATGGAGCCTCTCTGCAATGCCAACCTGCCTGCCAGCATGCATACATTGGATCATCTCCATGGTGTTGCCAATCGAGCCAGTCTTCATTACATGGGAGAGAGTCAACTGAAAGAGGTAGGGTTGTGCTCTCAGATGGGCTTGGGATTGACCTAAAAATAGCATGCTTGGAACAGACTCACTTGAAATCAGTATTACTTGATTTATTCATGAGTTGCTGGTTTCAGTACATCCATAGGAAGCTCAACTGATGGCAAGCTATAAGTCTTTTTCTAGAACAGGGGTGTCAAACTGCCGGCCCATGGGCCAAACGCATCATCCGGAAGCCGTGTCCAACCCATTGCCGGCAATGGCAAAATTGTCCCGATACGTCACGTGACGTCGCGAGTTTGACATGGCTGTTCTAGAGAAATGTTCAATTTCTCAATCCTCAATTGAGGATTCCAGATTTGTAAATCTTAATCATTGAACTAAAACATTCTTAAAGCTTTTTATATGCACAGATTTGGAAATAGTAATTTTTTAATACTGAATTCAACCTTTCAGAAGGAAAGAAATTGTATCTCTTTCTGTCAGGCATTTGATAGAAATTAGAATGCTTGTTTCTTTCTTGATTCACAGGTACTGCAGAATCTTGGAAAAGACCGATATCCACCACAGTCTTTAGAACAAGTTGGTACTCGAATAGCCAAAGTACTTGAAAAGGTAGCTGCAAGTTTATGTTTTCGTAGAATAATAGATGTGGTTGGGATATGTAGGATTCTCTAAACACCAGCCATCCCTCAAAGTAGTAAATTCCAAGTGTGTTCCAATTAGAGTTCCCAAAATTGCCAAAATAAGAGCTGAATTGCAAGCCCACATGTGTAAGGTTGGAAAAGGCTGATTTCTACAGATTAAATTAGAATTGATCCACCTTCCTGCTTATTTGCTAATTAGAAAAAGAATAGGTATCTGGGGAGCAATATCAAAACCATCCAGAGTACAGTATCATCTTTGAGGCCTCTCACTTCAAAAAAATGACTTGTCTGTAATATAGTCATAGCAAAGATGGGTTTTTCTTCATAATACCTGATAGAGACACTCTCGCACCAGCCTCCTTACTGGAATGTTTATACTAGAGTAGATAGTGTCCAAATAATAAGGAAAATGTCAGGCTCCAAAAACCAAGGAAGATACACTGAGTTCCTTCTAAGTACTTTCCTTTATTTTTCTTCACCTTTATTTTTCTTGCCAAACTAAAACAAAATAAAGACATACTCTGAGAATTCTTAGAGAAGAGCTGGATTGATCGTCTTACCTCCCAACCAAGCTATCTAAAGTTCGCTGTCTCTTGGTCCTTTGGAATGCAGCTTCTCCCTCCTGGGAATCCAGACTATATTCTCCCACAGAAATAAAGATCAGTAATACCAGCATGGAGTAACTTAGCATTTAATAGAGCTTGGTTTTTTTTTCCATTTCACATTTTAATATAATGTAAATCCATTTTTGATATTCAATAAATCGTAAAATCTCACAAAAACTGAAACTAACAAAAATATATTTTACTTAATTTGTATGCTATCCCTGCAGACTCAGGGTATATAAACTTATAAAAATACCTCAAACATCCACCTATATGTAAACCTCTAAAATTGCATGTACCTGCAATTCTGCCTTTAAGTTACAGAGTGCCCGTCTCCTGTCCAAGATGTTCAATTAAGTCTTCAAAATTTTTCTGAAGCTTAGGAAAACCATTGGTGAAACTGGAAACTGAAAGGCTTCAATGAAAACTTTAGTTCCTGCTATCGAAATGCCTTCTTGACACTAGGTTTTACAATCCAACTTAAGTTCTCAAAGGAACTTGCTGCCACACTATGTTCTGGCAGCAAATACAGTTCTCTCGATAGTAGCCGAGGATGCCCTAAAATGGAATACGAAATTGGAAATGGTTAGCTAGCACACAGACAGTGGATATTTTTAAAACTTTAAAGAACACACCTTCAGCTGTGTTCAAAAGAGCATCTTATACTTTTAGAAAGATGGACTATAATATTCTTTATCTGGTGAAGTTTCTGAGATATGTTCAAGGACTTAACAGTTATTGGAGAAGTTCATCCAAATTGTACAAGTAGATAAAAATAGTTTCATCTCTGTTTTCTTAAGGAGCATAATCTCCCTATTACATTTCACCTTTAAAAGATTTTTCTAACCACTACTCTAGTTTGTGTCTTTACATTCAATGCTAGAACCAGAAGTGCACATAAGGCCGCAAAATGTTTTGAAAAATCAATCACTTTGTCACTGACAGATGGAGTTCTTCCCATAAATGCCAACATTGCCAATAACATAGCTCTGTTTTATCTACATTCAGGCTGATTTTGTTCTGATTGCATAATGAATTAAGTATATAGTTACGTATCATCAGAATATCTTTTATTCTTTGCTTCTGATCCAAGAGCATTATATAGATATTTAATCAATATTCTCTTCATGTCTCCGCCAAATAAGAATAGAATCTATGATGTGCCTACATACTTCTAGCTAGCCAAATAAAAAGTGATTAAATGGAGTAAATCTTTTTATTGTGACAATTGGGGTTGATTATTAGCTTATAGAATATTAGGGAGCAAGTAGGAACAGACTAAGGTCAGTGGGAGAAGGCTCTGAGTTACATTTGTTTTCATCAGCCATTCCTTTTATTTTTACAAAAGAACTTTTATCAAATAATACATTACAATGAATTATGATAAATAGCTTCAATCCCAGCATTTTTTCCTAAAATGGTGATGTTCTTCTTCAATTACTAAGTCGTATCTGACTCTTCGCGACCCCGTGGACCATAGCACGCCAGGGCACCCTCTTCTCCACTGTCTCCCAGATTTTGTCCAAATTCATGTTCATTGTATCAATGACACTATCTAACCATCTCATCCTCTGCCCTCCCCCTCTCCTTTTGCCTTTTTCCCAGCATCAGGGTCTTTTCCAATGAGTCCTTTCTTCTCACTAGGTGGTTACATATTTGAACTTCAGTTTCAGTTCTAAATATTGAGACTGTGCAAGTTCTAAGCTTGAAATGCCTAAAACTGCACAAAACACTTTGGGTTCTGATGTTTGGTCTCAAAATCAGGAGTAGCAGAAAAAATTGTTCTGTGTAATTTTGAGTGTTCTAGTGTCCTGCAGTTGTAGCTATTGGTTATAGATAGTTAAAAGTAGATAGAAGTATGAGAGAATCAGTTAAGTATATACAGCGTGCTTGGATAAGTTCATTATTATTTTTTAAATTATTTGCTGTTGGGAACTTACAGTCCATGTGCTATAATGTAATGCTGTTTTCCTTATGTGTTCTCTATGTATTGTATTTCTTTTTCAGGCAGATTGCCAAATGCAAACATGTGCACAGTGCATGTGCATTACAGATAGTGTTGCTACACTTTTGAGCTTTCAGGTTGCCAAATGCAAAAATTGTATTACTGTGTTAGTTGAGCTTTGCAGGCAGATTGCCAAATGCAAAAAAAAAAAAAAACCCGTACACAGTGTATGTACATTTTAAAAAGTCTTCAAGCCCAGTATTTGAAGCATCATTTTGCTGCTGTTACATTGATCATCGTGTGCTGAAGTGAATTCATTATTGTTGTTTGTGGGCTTGGTGCTGTGGATATGCAGGCAAATTGCATGCAGCATGTTTTTATTGTTGATTCCATTGGTATATGAGGGCATTATATTTTTAAATATAGAAAATGTACCAAAAGCCAGGCTCCATAGACTAATGACTACGTTTGATTAATAGGTTTTCAGAAAAAATGTTACTGTACTTACTGTACATTCAAACAAGCATCAAACAAATAAGGAAGTGTTTAGAAGAAAATGAGACCCTATTCAAACATTTAATTACATTACATGGTATATATTATTCCAAAGGAACTGCCAGCTGCACATATACAGCCAGATTCTGATAACAAACTCAGTTTTTGCAGTCATAAATCTTTCCCCAAAATAATATAAAGCTCACTATAAACTCAAAGCTTTCTGGGCAGAAAACAGGTCATCTTTTGGAGTGACCAGTCTTGAGTTCAAGAAGATCAGGGTTTCATTTCAAAGTGCAAAAAAAGTTTTATCTTGCTTTCTCAGAATCATACCAATTATAGGTTCCTCTTGAGTTTTTTGAAAATTTGGGATTTCTTAGATCATGCCTATACAACTTATGAAATATTGATAATTTGGGAATAATTATGGGCTGCCAAGGAACCTCTGGCGATGAATTGTTCAGTGGTGAGCAAACCAGTGGAAGTGCTGGAGCTAATGGCGTTGGTGAGAACAGGAGGCATTGGAGGGACTTACCAACCCGTCTTTCAAGGCAGCAGCAATGGTGAATTTGTTGAATTTTTAAAAACACCAGCAGGCTGCTTGAGAAGCCCTATGAACCCTGAGAGGTAGATGGTACCAATTCAAATAGTGAACTAGCTGAGAGCACTATAATCATTGCAGAACCTCAATTCTCCTGATTTTATATAGGAATGGCTGTGAGTAAAGTGAAAGAATGAATGAACTCCCGTCTGGAATATTTTTTGTGGGTGTGCAAAATTTTGCAGAGTTACAGCTTCAGATTCTGAAAGAGAGTATATCTACCTCATTGAGATCTTGACCTCAGGAGCCAGATGATAAGATAAGATAATCTTTATTGCATTTTTTTACTATGAGCACACTGGTCCACATTAAGAATGAAATTCTGTTGCCTATCCATACACATACATACTACACATGTACACATGCTATGTACATAGCGGAAAGAGGAAACTTGAGAGAGTCTAGGAATAGGATGATGTGACGGTAGTTGATCAACTTCCTGATATCAGTCTGAAAATATCATTGAAGTTTGTATTTTTAACTGGAAGTCTGATCATATTTTCATTTCTATTTTGGTTGCTAGAATTGCTGGAGAATTAAATAGAAATTGATTCTCAATGTTGTGTGAACTGAAGCATGCCATTTGTTTTGACTAAATGATTTGAAGATCATGTTTATGGAGCTATGCAATATCATCCAGACTGTTAGTCCTAGTATTAGACATTGACCATCAATTGTTTTCATAAATACAGAAGGCACGGCGGAGTGCCTTCCAGAATCCCATGAGCCTCCACAAATGCCCATGAAAGTACTGGTGGTTTCAGAATCAAGTCATACTATAAATCTGGGCAATCAGGAATCTGGATCCTTACAAGTGCTGGTTAAATATTGTACCTGGGATTGGGTCTAGCTGAGCAGTTGTGGTTCCCCAGTCTTGAAACACCTCTAAACCAGATGCAGCCTATTTCTTGGCATATGGTGTGTGTGTAGTGACCCAATGCTCTTGGCCCCTTTTTTTCTGGAGATAAATGAGATCTTGTTGTATTGTTTCTAAGAGAGATGGTTGGAGATCCCTGCATTTGAAAGGAAGATTGTATCCAAATGAGATCTGGACAACACCAGTCTTAATTTTAACATATCCATCAATATGTTGATATCAGTAGCTCAGGTCTTACAAGGAGGAAAGGCATTCCACTCAGGTCAATTCATCCAGGATCTCATCTGCAAGTTCTTTCTGGGAATAATCCATCAGAATCTCCTCATTCCACTCCAGATCTTGTACTAAGAGCCTCATGTCATTTACATAATAAGCTATTGACCAGCTTCCCTTATGTAGCTCTGTAATCCTCCGTTTGCTGTAACTGATTTTGTTGAGTCTTCATACTTCAGCTTGAAATGCTTGACAAATTAAACAGTAATTATTGGAGTTGCAGATCAGTGGCTCATTTTGCAGCTCAGCCAGGGAATAAGGTCAAATGTCAAATTCAGGGAGATTCAAAGATAGTCTTTTTTTTTTCCAGTCCAAGGCAAGGTTCTAAATAATCCAGCAACAATATACCAACAGGGTCACGGGTAAGAAATTTGAATGGTGTTTGCCAGTAAGAGCCAGTCTAATCCTATGTAGCAGCAAATGTTTCTCTCCTAGGATGCAAAGAAAAAATATCTGTTGCGAACTCCATGTGGTGTGCAGAAGGACTTCTGGCAAGTTCAGCTCCATCCCAACTCTACCCCGAATTAAGGGATTACAGGGTCATAAAAAGGGAGGGTTCTAGGTAATCCAGCAACAATATACAGACAGAATCAAGGGTAAGAAATTTGAACGTAGTTTGCCACTTAGAGCCAGTCATGAAATCAATTTATCAATTTATAAAACCCTTACCACCATCTTAACAGATCGAGTCACACTTTCTTGTAGGTAGATGGGTTTTGTTCCTTAGATATTCTGTTCATAATTTGCAATTTGTTGCTGGGCTCAGGACTTTGCCTAGCTCTAGCTGTGAGTCCAGTGACTTATTCTGTACCTGTAGCAGGGTGGATAATAATCAGTGATTTAAAAAATAATAAATAATAATCAAAAAAATTAATTTAAATCGGATTTTTTTTTATTTTTATCAAATTTATTTTAATAAAATGCTTTTGGAGTAAAAATCTATCTAAATATAGTTTTCTATTTAAGATACATTAATAATTTAGTTTATTAAGCATGAAATAGAGCTTAGTTATGTAGCATGAGGCTGTATATTCTGCAATATTTACATTTTTGGTAAATTCATTCAATGAACCCAAGCTCTGCAAGCTGAGATAACATGCACTGCATTGATGCATTCACACAGTTTCACAGTAACTATGAGATAAATCATAAAACAAAGTTCAGGAATATTCCTTTATCCCATTGTTTTGCAAATTTATGTACATTACAAACTGTATGATTGTTTGAAGAGAAATACATCTGTACTAGGCTCTAATTGGTTTAGTTAAATAAAAGAATTTGAATAGTTATCCAACTACATGTGATTAACCTATTAATCTAAAATCAGTTCTGATATCGCTGTTTTACTAACCTGACAGCTTATTATTCTAAATAGGAAACCTTCATTTTGTTTGCAAATAATATTAAAGATTCTATCTACCAGCAAGAATGAGTCCTTCCATTTAAAGAGCACCTGTCATTTCAGATCCATCATGGCAGCGCCAGTTAGCAGGCATCCACTCACCTCTTCCCTGCCACATCCCTCACCTTGTTGTGTCACTGCCGCATCACCAGCCGTCCCATTAAAGTGAATGGGACTGCTGGTGAGTCAACAGCAGGTCAGAAGAGCTCTTTAAAAATTATGATTTAAAGGCTTTTTTACTAGTGATTTAAATCAAGTCAATTTAAATCACTAGTAAAAAAGCCTTTAAATCCACCCTGACCTGTAGCTCCTCACCTGATGTCCGCTGATAACTTAGTCCAATCAAGGTCTTCACCTTCTGTATCTAATGATTCAGACTGATCTCTAACAGACATCTTTTTATTTCTTTTTTGGAGTATGTCAAAGTCTCGAAGCAGTTCACACAACCATGCAGTTTTTTAGGGAGACCACCAGTTCTTTGTCCTGAAAAGAATACCCATGTACTGTACTTAGTGTCTATCCCGAGCTCCCTATCTGCCTCCTCACTCCATCATCTTACTACTTCCGGACACTCCCTTGGAGAAAGGCTCTCAAAATACTTGGGATTCTTGACCTCCCTTAGAACTTTCAAGGATTCCTGCTTTTATTTATCAATCTACCTATTATGTAATTATTAATTTTCAAAGCAAAGCATCTCTAACACTAGACTATTTTTTCCAAGAAAATTTATTAGAAAGTAAAAGTTGCAGATGATTTTTTTTGTTGTGAAATGTGTAAAAAATACACCAGTAGGGTACAAGTACAGAACATCCTATAGGCTAGAGTAGGGCGGCCATGTCTTTCCACTGATCTGTGTTTGTGGAATAAGTGCTCATTTATTGATATTGGCCTGTAGTCTGTTTTGTGCTTTGATTTTTCTGTGAGCAGGATGCATGTCTCATCTCCCTCTTGTGGAAATGTGTAGCTGGAAGTTTTGCCTATATAAATATATATAGATATAGATATTATCTGAGGATCGGCTGCTTGCCTTTTGTGGAATAGTGTTTTGTTGTGTTTTGTGCGGTAAATATACCGTAAATGCCGGCGTATAAGACGACTTCCACGAGCGCTGAAATCGGCGCCAAAGACAGGGGTCGTCTTATACGCCGAGTCGTCTTATACGCCGGAAATACTGGTAGTTTCCGGCGTATAAGATGACGTTCTAGGAATGCGGCCCGGCTATAAAGACGGGGGTCGTCTTATACGCCGGGTCGCCTAATACGCCGGCATATACGGTATGTCTTGGCTATTTGGGCTCAGACTACATCTTTGCTTTATATTGAAGTTCTTGGAGAAGTTACTTTATACTTTAGTATAGCAGTGTTTTTGATTTCCACTTCAGTAGCTATTGACTGAATGGACAAGGTCTAGCACTTCAAGAACCGTTCTGTGAGAGTGGCACCACTGTAGTTTCCACATTCCAAATGCACCCACTAGTTCAAAAACAGATTCTTAAGGAATTGGTTTTTAGTCACCACAAAGTGGCAGTATTTCGCTGCTAAGCAAAAATCAAAGTTTTGATCTTGAAATAAAAATTAAATTACTTGTAAGCATAATAAAGTTCGACATACATGCTCTGACAGTATGGCTCCCTGTACAAAGAGGTGTTCTGAGTTTCTAGATATTTGAATAAGACTGGAGTGGTAGTGAAAAATAGTAAAAGCATGAAACAAATGGAATCAAACACCTGGTGACATTTTCCTTCTTTCTTGTGTTTTGTGCCAGAATCAAACTTCTTGGATCCTTTCCAGCATGGCAGCCCTTTACTGGAGGGTAAAAGGTCAAGGGAAGAAAGCAATTGATTGCCTGCGGCAAGCCTTACATCACACACCATATTACATGAAGGTGGGTGTAATAAATAATACTGGAGACAATATGTCTGTGATTATAGTTTTCATTTTATATTTAGCAGTATATATGCTTTCACTGATTTTAAGGATTTTATAATGATGTCCATATAAAATTATTATGGAATAATCAACTTTATATGGTCTGTCATCAACACTTTGATAAAATATATAAATGGGAAACTACCTTCACAAAAGCAGGGTAACTTTTCTGGCTGTTCTATTTCTGCACCAAATAAAAAATAAGCCAAAGGAATTCAAAGTACAAATTGGAGCTAAATGGGGGGGGGGGCAGACCCCTGCAAGTGAATGTCCAGTCTAATTAGGTTTACAATAGATAGAAGAACAAATTTTGAATGAACTATAATCTCACTTCCCTAATAAGCGGAACAAATTTAAGATCCATCTATTATGTAGAAATGAATTGATTTTTTTAAGTGTCACTTTAAAAAAAAAGTGTCCTCTTATCTTCATTGGTTTAATTGATTGATGTTAATTGCAGACATTTTTTCCGTAGACACTTTGTTGGTTAAAGCAGGACAACTTTTGCATGGAACACTATCTTTTCTCCCTTACTAAAATCTGTATATCAGGAACAAAATATACTGTGCTGACTTTTTAAATATTTTTTTATTTTAAATAGCTTGATTTTTTTAAAAAAAAAAATTACCCCTTACTGGATTTGTTCCACTTTTCTTCTTTTCAGGATGTGCCTCTTATAAGTTTAGCAAATATCTTCCACAACGCAAAGCTTTGGAATGATGCTATCATTGTGGCTACAATGGCAGTAGAAATTGCCCCACACTTTGTCGTCAATCATTTCACCTTGGCTAATGTTTATGTAGCAATGGTGAGTAAATAATTGCTAAATTCTGATTCATTTCTTTTTATAGCATCTTGAGTCTTGAGTGATAGACACGTTTTAAAACAAGAAACAGCAGTCCATACCAACAGCATATAATAGCAGTTTGTAAAATAAAAGAAGTTTTTCAATAAATTTAACTGCACCCCATCTCTCAATGTAATATTTGAATATGCAGAACTTTTTGAACTTTGCTTTGGGTTTCTCACCCATACTTTAATTTGGGGAGAGAATAAGTTGTTCTCAGCATCTATGTGAGATCTTTTATCTTGGAATTGAATTCTGAATCTTCACCTGTCTCTTAGGCCAGCGGTCCCCAACCTTTCTGGCTCTGCAAACTGGCAGTAGCAGGGAAGGGAGAAGGGATAGTTTCATGCACACACGCAGTCTTTGCACAAATGCAACTTTACACGCTACATGCCGCCTGCGTGGCCTGGTTCCCAATGTGCCGGGTCGCGGACCAGGGGTGGGGACCCCTGCCCTAGGCCTGTGGTGGCGAACCTATGGCATGCATGCCATAGGTAGCACGCAGGGCCCTCTCTTTGGGCACACGCACCATTGCCCCAGTTCTAGGCCTTCAGCTGGGTTTTATAAAACCTTTTCGCTTAAGGCCTCTGCCGCCATGTGCAAAAAAAAAAAAAAGTTCAATCAATTTCAACTTCTCGTGGGGGGAAAAAAGATCTCACAAAGTTGGAATTGATTGATTGAACTTTTTAGTCCCAACCAGTCTGCCGTTACCACCGCAGCCACGCCCATCCAATGGGCCACACCCACCCATGGGCCACGCCCACCCGGCACCCAATGATACATAAGTGGGTTTTGGGTTGCAGTTTGGGCACTCGGTCTCTAAACGGTTCGCCATCACTGCCCTAGGCTGTTCTTTTTGAGACCAAAACCTTTAAATCCTTCATAGGTTCCCCTGCGGGGAATCCCCGTATGATATGCAGTCTCTTAGAATAAGGAATCATATTACTGGCATTTTTAATCATGCTCCTCTTAATGTGTTTTAAATGGTTGAGCCACAATCCTGGCAACACTAACTCTTCTGTAATCTCTGGAGTCATGATACACATAATCTTCTGCCTTCATCAATCAGCGCTGATCCTAAGGATATGTGCCTCTTTCTTTGCTATAGGGAACATGGGAAAAGAATGCCGGTTCCAACCCTGGTTGAACCAGGTTCATCCCAGTTTCAGCCCACCAGACTGTGATACAAATTGGCTCAAATGCATGACCAAAGGAGTATTGAAGGAGTACTCATTTCTATTGTGCCCCCTCTGTATCCTGAGGCATCTCGAGCTTTGCAGGGCTGCCTCAGTGACACAGCCTTCTCCATTCATAAAGCCCTAGATACTGGTTCTCGGGGTAGGCAGCAGAATAGTCTTGGCATCGTTGGCTTCAACCATAGAGAACATAATGAAGAATTAGCTACCTATTTGTAACTGAGGTTCTTCTAGTAGTCATCCATGAATTCACATAACCTCACAATCTTAGATGTGTGATTGCTATTCACTCTCTTGGTTTTGTCATTGCTATTTCAAAATGGAGAGGAAGAAGGATCCACATCTGGCTGTATAAATATGTGACAATAGGACTCCCACCAAAAGTACTTTAACTGTGGGATATTCCAGTAGCATTAATGTGCAAGTGAAGAACCTCTTACGTGCACATTCACAGATACCTACTAAAACTAGATATGGGTCAGCAGCTATTTCTTCCCAGGTTGAGTATAATAATAAATAGGGTTTAATTTAACTGAGAAAATAGAAATTTAATTGAGGAAGTGGAAATACATACACTTTGGATTTTGACCAAGGAAAGGGAGAAGAAATAAAAGAAATAAGGAAGAATTAAACAAGTTTGTTCACTAGTACTAAGTTATAATGTAATGGCTAATTAGCCATATTGGGCAGCTGGAAGAAAGACAGAATATATATAAAGTAATGACTATTAATACTTGTACAGTTGTGCCCTGAAAGTAACAATATTGCATTTGCAGTTGAACCTTTGTAATATTCTGCACTGAAGTATTACACATTAATCTACTACAAAAAAATCCACGTAATCTACCATGACATGGGAAAAATATTTTATTTTATTTTATTTTTTTTAAAAAAGAAAGTCTTGTTTGTTATGTTCATTTGCCTGGGTTTAATATTCTAATACTTGAAGATACTTAGAGATTCAGCACTCTATCCCTAATAACAAGGTATGGTATATACCAGGGGTAGGCAACCTTAGCTCCTTTATGACTCGTGGACTTCAACCAGCATGGCTGGTTCAGGAATTCTGGGAGTTGAAGTCCACGAGTCGTAAAAGAGCCAAGGTTGCCTACCCTTGGTATATACCATTATAAGATATAACTTACTTTGAATGCTGATGATTGTGGATCTTGGATTCCTACAGGAGGAGTTTGAGAAGGCAATGCGGTGGTATGAATCTACACTGAACCTTCAACCTGAATTTGCACCAGCAAAGAATCGAATTCGTGCCATTCAGTGTCATTTACTCATGAAAAATGAAAGACATTCTCCTTAAATATTACAATCTTCTTCCTTTTTTTTTCCAAGAAAGCAATTGGTCATTAATAGACTTGAAATGAGGTGAGCTAATAGAAATTGGAAAATACTATTTCTAGTAAGAACCGGAGGTCAGTTATATTATTCAGAAACAAGAATATCTTTGGAGAAACTATAGTAAATACTATCCCAGACAATTGTATAAATAAATATTGAACCCAGAGAATTTCCACGTGCCTGTGACCCAAACATCATTAGATTTTCCACAATACTTGATTGGATGCCAGCATAAAATTTAACCTGCTTCTTGTCTTAGCACATCTATGAAAATGCAAAGCACTTCATTGCACCAGACACTATATGTAAGAGGAAGGCATAATTAACTTTTCATCCATCAGGAGTTCATATTCTACTTCTTCACCCAGTCCAGTCTTTAGCATTACCAGGTCAGAGAAAGATATTGAGATAAAGCAGAAGATTGCACATCATGTTAGTATTTTAAGAACAAGCAGCCTTCTATCTATTGTTACTTTTATTGGGGGGTGGGGGGAATAGTGAAAACAACATTGTGTGAAATCATTTATATTATGGTTTACAAGAAGAAAGAAAAATAAGAAAGAAATATAACTTCAAAGGTTTTTTTTTAACCATTATATATTAGAAGCCCTTTGCAGCCTTTAGCCTGTCTTTACTAATTCTTTTACCCACCTGAGTGTAAATTGCAAGTGTTAAAGGCATACGCAGACATGTTTTTTCTCTGTATGTCTAAACACTTAAGCGAGACAGAGCATGTTAGCAAACAGGACAAGTGGTCTGTTTCTTAATCAGCATCCAGTTTGGTCAACAAAAGGACCAAATTGCAGATGTCATTGTTGAATCAACAAGGGCACAAAACTTGAAGCAGAAATAAACAATTATTAATAAACAGAAATTTGATTCTTCTTTTTTATGGAAAATGTGTGTTACATGATACACTAGTACTTTAGCCCCAAATTCCACATTCCATGATCTTTATTAATATACACATTTCATAAGGTAAGACTTTTGCTTATATATGTAGAAACGGCACTTGATTTTAACTCCATATTTCTTACATGATAAAATATCTAAAATTTTATTCAAAGGAAGAAGGCAGTTACAGAGTTATTTCAAGGAGAAAAATATTCGGTAGGGTTTCAGCTTTGCTATTATAGTTGATTTGCTCTACAAAAGAGAGCCATGGGGTTGGTTACTAAACACATTAAGATGATTTGTTTAATTCTAGCTGAACACAAGGCATGACTCTGGCCAGTTGTGATTTATATATTAAATCATGGTTAAGTCACAGTTCAGCACAATATATGAATCCAGGCAGATGTTCTGTTAACCCAGCATCAGCAGTTCCACTGCTTTTCCATTTCTAGACTAGTAACATACAATTTGACTAAAATCAGTTAATACATTAAAACTCAGTTATAAGGAAAAGCTGTGTATTTCTCTTACAGACAGATTCTATTACATTGGTAAAATCTGAAAACTAAATTTGGTACTCTTTTCATTTGAGTTGAATTAAATTGGATTAATCTGAATCCAGTGTTTGTTTTTTACTTGGTCTCAGAATTTTCAAAGACAGTGATTCAGATACAGTTTGATGAGAACCTGTTAAAAATTTTAAATGAGATAGCTCAATATCTGGCATACTGTGATTTTTTTTAGCAGTTGTTGCAATCAAATTTAAAATACTGACATTCTTTACTGCCAATTATGCACTTCAGAGCTCTTTTAAAATGTGAGAAATCTGAAAATATGGTGGTATTGCCTAATCCAGTATATAGATCAGTGATGGCGAACCTTTTAGAGACCAAGTGCCCAAACACTGGCCCTGTCCCCACTCCACCCCCTGCCCCGCCCTCACCCCACCCCTCCATCCCCTGCGCTGCCTGCCTGCAGGCCACTCACTGCCTCCAGGGCCTGCCACATTGCCCAGGCGGCCCAGCAGCGCTATGGCAGTCACGCCCTCTGCCCGTGCCCTACAGCATCAATTGTGCACAATGGGGTGTGAGGGCAGAGTCTTGTCTACGCTGCCTGGCTGCCATGTCCTTGGCTGCACTGCTCCGTGTGGGCCATGCTCAGGGGCAACTCTCCTTCAGGGGGGCTGCTGGAGAGGAGGGGGTCATGGGGGAGGCGAGGCTGGGGCAACGGCACATGTGCCCACAGAGAGGGCTCCGAGTGCTGCCTCTGGCACCCGTGCCATAGGTTCGCCACCACTGCTATAGATATTCATATTTCATCTTTGGCGTCTAGAGCAGGAAAATTAACTCTCAGTTTTAAATAAAATGTGAGAAGAATTGTAAATAAAATGTGGGGAAAGGACTGAACTTAATGCAAGATATAACAAAAGATGAAGTGGGTGGGGTGAGTTACAGGTTTATTCCCATACGTGAGTGGAGTATGCACATATACTGTATTTTGCAGAGAAGAAATCAATGTTATAACAGTTTATATGTGTTTGTATACATATACATACACTACATTAATACATTAGTATTGCTGAATACCTATCTTTATGAAAAAAATATATTACAAATCTGTAGCCATTCCTTGAAGTCTTCCTAACCAACATGCCTCCTTTAAAACATGCACTCTCATTCTTCCAACTACTCTCCCTCCATCAGTTAAGCTGTTGAACAACAGATTGTGATTAAAATAGCTGCCAACACATCTGGAATCCTCCAGGTGGCAGCTTGAACCCATTTTTAGCATCACTTTTTCTTTAAGACCCTAAAAATAGATACTCCTGCATAAAACAGGATGGGCAGTTCCCTTACTTCCAATAGCTAAATATAGGAGAATGCTTCTACCTCTTGCTTGAATGAAAACCATAAAAAGGTATCTATTTCATTTTCATACATATGGGTGCGCCCTTTTGTGATTGTTTCTTTGTTTTGATTTTTAAGCAGGGGTGAGCCGAGTTTCTCAGGGCTAAAGTAGATGAAGAAACCAAATACCTCATTTTCTCTTTGTCTTTTTGACACTCTGTGCAGCAGACAAGGGGAATGGGATAGGTATCTCATATTAAAAATCTAAATTTAACCCTCAGAGGATTTTGAAAGTAGGCCATGGACTGCCTGCAGCCTTAGAATCACAGGTTGTCCATTCCACATCTCTGTTTCACTATTGCATTCTGAATTTACAAACACAAGTGCAAACACAGAATATTTTACACAGGTTTTTGGCAATAATAAATTTGTGATATGCATAAAATCTTTCTTAGGTACACAAGATATACTTAGTGTGGTCCCAAGTATCTCATGATTCATTTGGCCAGTAGTCATTAATTTGACTGATTGTTCCTTTTGTTCCCCTTGATGTGAGTTTCCTTACTATCCTATTCAGCTGTCGGTAAGTTTAATTTTTAACCATATATAAAGGATATGCCAATGTGCCCACCTTCTCTGGTATCCTAGTTCATGAATCCTTTCCTTGATAAATTTAAATAAACATTTCAGAGCAGAATGTCAAACTTGCAATGTCACATGACGTTGCGCGATATATCGGACCTTTTTCCCCATTGCCGGCACTGGGGTGGGTGCGGTTTCCTCGTTACGCATCCGGCCCACAGGCTGGCAGTTTGACACCCCTGTTTCAGAGAGATGTTTCAGAGTTTTAGTGCAATTAGCTGATCCACAAATTAAATCAACTATAGTTTTAAGAATAAAATATGTCAGCCTTTTTTAAAGGATTGATCTGTTCCTATTTGAAAACACACCAATAAGTTGGAGAAAAAACAGTGCAGTGAGTATTATTATTTCTTATACACCTACAATAAAACAGATGATTGCAAAGAAGTCCGAGATATCAAAAATTAGAAATTATTTTTTTAAATCTGCCACAGAAGAAACTCCAAAATTAATAAATGGCTGGTAGAAAGAACTGTAAATCAGCTGAATCATTCCATTTCACAGTGGAAACATTAACTGAAAAGAATTGCCCTATGCATATCTTTCCGAGCTTTGCATATCTTTCCGAGCTTTGTCCAATGTTGAACAGATTCGTCCATCTATGTTCATGACTAATGACAAAGAACTAAGGGAACTGGAATCCAAAGTATCAGGTTATTTATTCCCAAATGCTGTCATGCAGATATATTATTAGATCCGTATTAAATGTTTAGATCTGTTCTTTAATGACATCTTGAGTCTTTTACAACATCACCACTCTACAACTCCTCAATTGAATTGAGTAAAATTGGTATTTGAGATCCTAAAATATCACAGAAAACTAGACATTTATATAATGTATTCATTAAAAGCATACTTATTTTTTTCCTTTGAATTAAAAATTGTAATTTCCTCCCCCCCATCCCCAGAGTGATATTTTTCAAGCTTTGATAAAAACTTGATAAACATAGACACTGGAAGATAAAAGATGATTGTCGCCCTAGTGTATTTTCTCGGGGGTAGGGTGGAGGTAATATAAAAAGAGGGAGAACTGCCAACCGCAAAAAAATCTTAACGACAACAAAAAAAGGAACAAGAATTTTCAATCCAAGCTAAGTGCTGCACAGGCAGAAACCTTTCTCTGACGTACATGAAAACCGTGCCAGGATTAACTCCTTCATGCTCATGAAAGCCAGGCTCCTCAGAGTTATTTGTCTTGCCATGAGTGTCATACTCTTTCTGTTAGAATTCACTGCAGTTTTATTTAATCTTGCTGTCACATTACATGTAGATATTGAAGGCAACATTTGTACACAGCATTAATGGATGGGTTAGAAAATCTCTGCCCACCCATTGATTCTTTCTGCAGGTGATACACAAAAGTCCATTAATTACAAAACAGGACAGAGATTTCCTTTCTGAAATTGATATCCTCAGTAGCAATTATTTTTCTTATCTCCTTTTTCTGGCAACTGGAACAAGCATAGGCATCTTTCATTCAAAATTTCAAAGCAACTGATAAAAATGCTGTTAAGGGAGACTTATATTCTCAAAGTTTTTTTATTCTCCAAATAAGACAGCAGGATGAAAAACTCTTTGCAGAATGGACAGGCCATGAACTAAATACAGAGTCCAGATCTCTGTCTCTACTAGTTGCTCCTCCTACAAAATTATAATACAGATTTCTGGAATTAGAATAGAATAACAGGGTTGGAAGGGACCTTGGAAGTAATAATAATAACAATAATAATAATAATAATAATAGTGGTGATGAAGATGATGATAATATTGGAAGGGACTTTGGAGGTCTTCTAGTTTATCCCTTTGCTCAGGCAGGAAACCCTGTATCATTTCAGACAAATGGCTGTCCGGTCTCTTCTTAAAAACTTCCAGTGTTGGAGCATTCACAGCTTCTGGAAGCAAGTTGTTCCACTGATTGTTCTAACTGTCAGGAAATTTCTCCTTAGTTTTAGGTTGCTTCTCTCTTTGGTTAGTTTCCATCCATTGCTTCTTGTCCTGCCTTCAGGTGCTTTGGAGAATAGCTTGATTCCCTCTTCTATGTGGCAGCCCCTGAGATATTGGAACACTGCTATCATGTCACCCCTCATCCTTCTCTTCTTAAAAACTTCCGGTGTTGGAGCATTCACAATTTCTGGAGGCAGGTTGTTCCACTGGTTAATTGTTTGGTCATGGAAAAGAAAAGGACAGGAATAGAAAAACATGGACAAAACTTAAACTGCCTTCTACACCTAGCTCTTTGGGATAATTTCAAATATCTTTGGGTTTCAAAAAATAAACATCCATTTGACTAAAGATGGCCTGTCTCCTGCAGTCAGTTTTCCAATGTCATGACATCCAGATGAATTTGAATTATATCACCTAGTACTTAGCTAGGCAGGATGCTAGCTAAGAATTCCAGTTGCAATCCCAGCAAATCCAGAAAACACCAGCTGAGGATGACAATTTTGTTTAAATAAAAAGCACAGAAAGTAATTTTTTCAATGATCATGTT